CCAGTTAAGTGAAAGAGAATGACAGTGATACAGACATAGTGATTGCTTCTCCTTATTATACTGGTACATGTTAACGATTTGCTAATGATAGAGCCCTTTGGATACAACTGATGTAGCTAACCTCACGGGGATTTCCAAACTGATAAACAAACGCAATCAGATGCATCATTGATATTCTAGCCTTGTTTTATTACACTATGATTTCGTCAGTTTAAAAAATGACCTGATTAACATTTAAATCGATCTATTGATCTATAGATCTATTAGATTATCAATGGCATAACCATCACTGAAACAAAGTCATAAGTAGAAAGCTCCCCTTTGAATTGTGACAATTCACATCATGTACAAATGTTACAAACATCAAATTTATCTACTATGAAAGTTTTTAAAACATGCATTAAATAAATACAATAAAATTCATTCATAACAAATGAATGAGAGCTAATTTTCTTTTTCAATTGTATATTCAATTAAAAGAAATGTATTGTTGAGAAAATTATGTAAAGTCTAACATTTATATAAGTAGTATACAATTATTATGTGAAAAAGAGAAAGGATTCATTAATTTACAGATTTTCTTTTATTTCAAAAAATTAGAAAATTTAACTTTTATTATTTTTAATTGATATTTGTATAATCGTTTTGTTTGTGAATTAAAACAAAAGAAGAAAATGTTTATTATATTGAAAAGTAACAGTGAAGAATATAATGTTTATGTATTACAAAGTAATTATCATTTTATTTTATAACAATCGAAAACTTCCTAACTAATTCTCATATTTCCTAAAACTATTATTATTTAAACTATTCACCATAGCAACTATTTTATTTGATTCTTCTTCAACTAATATAAAGTTTCTAAAACAAAAAATAAAATCATAGTTTTACTGACCAAACTTTTATTCATCTCCAGTAATGATGAATTATCAGAAAATATTACTTTCTATGGATATAATATTAATCATGTTCAAAAGTATGGTTTGCAAATTGATGAATAATTTCATGGAAATAAAAGTCTTTGTTCAGGGTTTATCCACAGATCATCTTGAAGTATTAGCTAATCAACAAAGTGTTTGCCCATTTAAAAGGTAAATAAATAAATCATTTTGATATCATTTATGCTTAGTAATCCATAAATTTTATTATATTTTTCATAGTCTCATGTTCTTTAGATCTCAAAGATACCTTTGAAAGTATTCCAAACCTTAGATGTAATAGTCTATTGGTAGAGATGTGGAAACAGGTTTCTTTTAAACTGAAAATTGAGTGAAGATTTCTGTTCTGTGAGCAATACAAAGATATTAATTAGTTAAATGATGTAATGCACAATTTTAAATATAGACTTTGGTTGAACCCAGTCACAATGAATTATGTATACTTATACGGATATGTTCGTAGTTAGTTTGACAAAACGCTTCGTAACATAAGATGAATTGTAAGATTTTTAAGTTCCTTACTTTGATTCTATATATTTAAATTCAATTCCTACGAATTGGCTTGGTTAAACATTGTTTAAATACTTTTTTTCGAGAATTTACTATCTTTTCTAGAAAATAACAAAATTTAAATAAAAATTCGAAATTCTTCTTTATAAGTAATTGGTAGTCAATTTTCCATCAGCTGAAACTGTTTTTATGAAATAAAAACTAACCATTTGATCGGTGATAAAATGGAAACATTTCAGAACACATACTACTTAAATGATTGTAGGTGTCATTACCAAGGTTTGATTTGATAATTTCGAATAAATTGAGCATTGGGTTGATTGTTATAAATAAAAATAATATATTTGTAATATCCCAATGAGTAGAAAATTGGATTTTCTGACGTTTCGTGACTTAGTGTAAGTCACTTCTTCAGAGAACAAATAACCAAATTAAAATTCATCCAAGTTTAAATAGTACAACGGAACAATGCAAAATATTAAAAGCCTTATAAGCTCACACTTTAAACTGTGATGTTGAGAAAATAAATATTTCAAAACTATTATTGTTCCATTGATTGTTTGGAGGGAGGGGGGAATAAAATTAGTAAACTTACTAATTGTGTTCTTATTAAATATAGTATAAGTGTAGTGGACATCACTCACATGGATGTTAATAAGTAGTGTGTAACGGAATGTGTCGTCGAGGTTGCAGTGATTATCAGACGGAATGAAGAATTTCAGTGCATCGAAAGCACACCGTTGGCAGAACACTTGGAGACTATACCAGAAAACAGTTCAGATGGCAAAACATACCGAAAGCTACAAATGGATATATATATATATATATATATATATATATATATATAAAGTATCTAAACAAACCATTGTTTTCAAACCTAAACTATTTTGAACATACAAGATAAATTTCATATCATTGAATAAGAAAAGAAGAATTCAGCGAAGAAAATTTTCCTTTCGACGAAATCATTTACTTAAGCTGTACATTCGTATATATAGTTATATGGGAAATATATGTCTATAGAAGGATAGAAAGGACTGTATAAAAAAAAATTGGATTCGAGAATAAATAACAAATGAGGTTAATGTACTAATCAAGGGGTAAGGAAGAACAGAATTTATGGATCAGATAATAGTCCATTTGGCAGATATGAAGAAAAGTGACAAACAACAAAGGTCATAATAATAAACTGAATGATAATCAAGAAAACTTTTATAAGGTAATAATAATCAATGGTTAGAGTTTAAAGTGCAAAATAGTAATTTAAAAAATATCGATAATAATTAAATAAAAGTGCAGAAAAACAACAAAGACAACAGAGAAAGAACACCAACACAGAAACATACCCATTCAGGGAATTAGGGCCAAGGAAGGATGAGAAGTTGGACAAATCGTTCCTACACGCAAAGTTCAGGCTTGAGTTTGTGGATTGCCAATGTTTGTCGCTTTTCTATATATCTGCCAAATGGACTATTATCTGATCCATAAATTCTGTTCTTCCTTACCCCTTGATTAGTACATTAACCTCATTTGTTATTTATTCTCGAATCCAATTTTTTTGTAATACAATCCTTTCTATCCTTCTATAGACATATATTTCCCATATAACTATATATACGAATGTACAGCTTAAGTAAATGATTTCGTCGAAAAGAAAATTTTCTTCTCTGAATTCTCTTTTTCTTATTCATTGATACTATGGGTTATTTTAAAAATCTCATATCAATCATTTGTTCACGATGTTATTATCGGTAGTAAGTAAACGTTTTAGAAAAACTGTGTATATTAAAATTCTTTTTTTGTTTCACGACGAAACAACTTTCTCGTCTTCATTAAAAAATAACATGACCAATCAATATGATCAAATGAAGATGTGAACATGGTGTATGCAATCAGAAGAAATGTGTATGCGATAACTGTTGGGTAGGCAAATTTTGCGAAGTATCAGGTTAGTGAAATCATTCAAGTTACATGTAAAGCAACTTTCGTTTACTAAGAACAGATTTCGCACTAATCAAAATATTTTCATCGTAAGGATGGCAAATCAATTGATGAAGTAGTGAAACTTCAGTTGAGATGGCTGGGACATGTGTTATGTATGCCCAACGACCGACTGCCTCGACGTGTGATGTTCAGTGGTATAGGAGTAGGTTGGAAGAAAGCAAGGGGCGGCCAGACCAAAACATGGCCCAAGTCCATGAAGTCACTGACAAGTGGTCTGAGTCATGTCGGTAGGTGTAGACTACCTGGTTGGGGACCGCGAGATGATAGCAACCGATGGTTAGAAACCTTGAATGACATGGCTCAAAATCGTTTGCAATGGCGCAGGTGCATCCACTCTTTGTGTTCTCCCAAATTCTAATCTTCTGAATTCTTCATGTCCCTTTTTTCCTCTTTCCAAATTTATTTCACTGAATTATACTCTTTAAATAACATCTCGAAACCCTAATCTTCCCGATCACGGCTTACACTCTTGCTACCTCTACCACTACGGGATTTGGATCGACAAATGCATATTTGTGTTAAGGTGGTGTGGCAACTCGAACTGATGTACGTACGTACGTAGTTCTACGTTGTTACTGACTGACTGACAGACTATCTCATTTCCTAAAAATAATAATCATCCCATTGTAATTATAAATGATTATAACGTGATCGCGTAAAGTTTTTTGATCACTGATCCCAAATTGTGAACGAGAAAGCAGTTGTGAGTGGTTTCAAGTACTGATGTTTTATAAAGTATGTAACACGATTCAAAGTAACGTAAAAGACATAAGGAAACTTCTATTATTGATTGGAACAAAAGGTGTATATGGAATTTTTAGTTTTAATTCTGTGACGAAATATAAACCATAAATAAACATGATGGTGTAATGCAAAGATGATAATACTAGATTATATTGCATAAATTATAATAATCAATGTTGTGTAACTACAACAGCATGTGTACAAATAAAAAGCATGTAAAATTAATAGACTAACATAAAGTTTTTGGAATTCATAATGTGTTAATAATCTTGAACAGTACGAAGTATGACTCGATCTTCATGACTGAAACTTGACACAGTTATACCAAGTTAGTCCATATGTTAACCGTTTGGAGACAAAATAGAAATATTTACGAAACGTTCAGTTCAAAATAAAAGCAATATGCATTCCCTCAAGACCTATGACTTTATTTATATCAAATTCAAATTATATAACTATAAAATCACTATTTACTTAGATGGATGTCGAAAGACCTTATTTCATGCCCATTAAAAGCAATAAATTCCTGTTGAATTCTGAATTATATCGACTTCCCGAAACCCTAGTTTTTGATAAATTTATGAAAATGGTAAACTAAGATCATTTCTAAATCATATTTGTCGAGATAATTAATAGCCTAGAAGTGATTTGGTTTTCATGATCATTTCTTGAAATATATTGAAATTACGAAGAATAATTATCTAAGTTATAAGATGAAACGTTTCAGTTACGTTTCTAAAAGCTTGTCTTAATTAGTTGCTAACATAACAAATAAATCATTCTTCATTTTATAAACAAAAATAAATGGAAATATTTGAAAGTATAACCAGTAACATAGATATCGATAAACACTACGGGAAACTAGTCACAAGAAAATAATTACACAAACTGTTCATTCCAATAACATCTAAAGTTGTTTGGCTTGAACTGACTGTGTTCAAAATGTTTAATATTTATTTTAAACGTGCGGCGTGTATTTAAGTTGGCAATACAGTTAACCATTCAACTTCTGATATATCAAGACATCACATTATACTTGGTGATTGTTTCTTCTATCCAGTTTTAGATAATATTCGTTTTACCTCAGATAGTTTTAAAATTACTGTGTCACCTAGTTCTATCGGCATTCCAAACAAAATTATTGGACAACTTACGTTTCGAGATATACGAAGTGATCAAATAGAGGAATGTGGGCAATTATTTTTTTTACTTGAAGGAGTCCAACATAATAACTTTCCAATTTATGTAGAAAACAGTACAGGTTTCATTCGCTTTAGCCGTTTTAACAATTTTAATTGGCCAAAGCTGATACATCACAAAATTTACATGACTGTAAAATTATATGTCAGCCCAAATAAAGAAATGGATTCATCGCGAATTGTCATCTCCTGGAATTATTTTACGAAAGATCAGCAAGGAAAACAATCGAAGTCCCAAAACGATGATTCCCATCTGGAGAGGCTTAGAAGAGTGCGTACCGTTTTTGAGAAAAATTAGCCAATTTTTTTTATTTTAACAGTTATCTTTGAAACACATTTTCGATGTCCAGTTAAACGGAAGGAACTTTGTGAATAAACTAGTCTACCTTATGGTGGATTTTAGTACCGTATTATGATTTAATTAATGATCAGCAAAATATGGGTAAAGCATCTGAAAATGTAAAAGCGGATCCTTGCCTTAGTTCGTCCAACATCTCACATGAATGGGACATCCTGTATATTAAACAGTCAAATATTATTACAAACTAAAAGGTGTAGAAATTTTTCATGTATTGGTTTTCTACAATTCAAATTAAAAATTTAGTGTAAAAGCATGAGTGGAGATTTTTAGTTGTTCTCGTACACTAATTTCATTGTGGATCAAAGTAATTTAGTGCTTAACATAGAGTCACTAATACGTTTGATTTAGTTACCTAATCTATGATTTGTTGAATCGTTTAGCAGTTAGATATAAAAAATATAAACCACCTTCTAATCATCACCTTCACATACCTTAACAAACTGTATGAAATGAAGTATACTGCATTTGTCAGTATTCTTCTGACTTTAGAATTATCTGTGTACAAACAACTGACTTCTTAACGTATTTGGATAGCTGAGTTAGGATGTTTATATTCATTCCCAAAATGTGGAAATCATTGAAATGACTTCCGAGGAGACAATTCAATACAAAAACTCTGTTGGTTTATAAGATCCAACAAAGTAAAATATATCTAGATTACTGTATAAAATAAGGTTAAACACTAGAAGAAAGACACTGTAAGCCAATTTCTTTCATATATAATTTACAAATAAATCTATAAAACCATATATCTCTAAGACATTTAAATTTATAGAACTGAATTGTATAACGGATTTTTGGTTTACTTGCTTTCCAAAAGTTACATCAGTAAAAATTACTATTATTAACATAACAGTACTTGAAGTAAATAACACTTAAATGATATTGAAATCTGGAACCAATAACTTCCTCATATAATAATTATTTCCCAGTCCAGGATAACAGCATTTGTAAGTATATTATTACATATCTGTGCATTACTTCTCGAAATCGATAGATAACCATAGAGGAAAATATATAAAAAATAGTTGAACTATACTAAAGTCATACAAGAAAAAGGTATTAAGAATTATGGTAATTGATTATAATTTTCGAGATGACATCCAATATTGGATTGGGCTCCCAAAGTAAACGATAACCACAGTCTCTTTAACAGTAGCATTGATACGACAACAATGTAAATAAGATGTAATGGGACGCGAATGAAATGAAATTTTATTTCAACCGTTTACTAGCCAAAGTGGGGATTCGTCTGGAATTCAGGTTATTTCAGCAGTTCTAATTCCAGATTCATAATATTCTGTAGAATTCTTACATATAGAACCTTTATTGTAAATGTGACGCTATATTTAATTATAATATCGTGATCATTTTTAACATACATTCTAATATCAGAATTCCACCGAAACAATATTTGATTAATAATTTTAGAGTGTGAATCCTTCAAACCTACAACTTCTCGTGACGAGAAGCGATACAGCTACCAATACATTGTGTCCGACTGAAGTAATAGCTCTAAGTGTTCAGCTTGGTCTACCTGCTGGTACAACTCCAATAACAGTTGAATTGTTTGGTCCTACTAAAGATACTATAATCTACGGTTTTGTTGAATTTATTGATATTTCATATATTGGAGTAAGAGTTTCAAACAGGGATTTTTCAATTGGCGTACGAAACACGACTATAGAAACTGATTACGAATACAAAGTAAACTATATATTTTGATGTTAGTTATGTGCGCATGTATTATTAAGAAGTAAGACATTGGGTTTACTTGTTAATCTATGTCATAATGTGGATAATGTTCAGTAAAAAATACATGTGGTTTGATGAACTTCCCTATAATGAATTTCACATTCATCTTTGCTAGTAGTTTGTTTATATGAAAGGATTAAATCATATTTGATTTTTGTAATTCTAACGACAGACAATCCGATTATTAAATGGAATCTATTATATAAAAAAAAAAGAATTTGATCGTAAATGATGAATAACAATTTTTATGAACTGGATGTCATAAGGATACAGATGTTATATATACTTTGGTGAGGACCTTACATAATTCAAAAATAATATCATCTTACATTTCTCATCAAAAGAAAAACCAAACAAACCTACCTTATCAATATTCAGAACTAATAAAAGATGTATAGAAAGATACTCAAGATTATGTTAATAGCATTTCTAACATATATTATGAGAAATATAGATCAATAATACAATAATATATATTTTTAAATAATTTATTAGGTAATGACTTTTAAAAAAGCATCGAATGGTCATTTTGTCTTAATATGGGACTCAGCAGAGGATATTCACAATCCTACTTGCGTGATTCCAAACTAGGATCTTCGGTCTCGCGCGCGAGCGATTAACCTCTAGACCACTGAGCAGGAATCCAACGGTGTTAATGTTTAACTTCAAATAGTTTTGATATTGATATGCAAAGAGTTGAGGTTTGCCCATAATTTAAAAACATCAACTAATAAGTATTGATAAAATAATCTCTAAAATTGTTCAGTAAGAAAAACATCTGCTGCTTATAGTACTTAAAACTAACAACACAAGCACATGTAATCATTCATATAGCTATCACATTGAATTAACGAAAGGATTTACTTTTTAACTTTACTTCAGAATAAAGAATACTAACCTTTATAAGAATAGATTCGCATGTTTCTTACTTCATAGTTAAGACATGAATCACATTCCTGGCTAAATAGAGTTAAAAGCATCATTCATAATGTTGTGCGCGTTTTTAATTCATTGACACTATCTATAACATTGAGGATGATACAGGTATTCAGTGTTTGACAACGCTTCTACCAATAACACCTTCTAATATGCTTTGTTCCCACCGAGAGAAATCAAAAGACAGAGTCGAGGAGATCGGAAGAGTGTATTTGGTAATAACCAATATATCGGGAATCTCTGATCTAATCTGGCTAGTGATTGCGATTGTTGTTGAGCACAGCGTGACAGCACGTGATCTGGTGCGGATGCATGACCGAGCGCCTTCAGCTAGATGAGTCCACTAAAACATATGGTCAGCATCCAATGTCGAAAACCTATTGAGCTATTTAGTTTGGGGATTTATTTACCGCTACAGATCACTCCCCCCCTAGTGGGGCAGTGATGACCCTAAGACGTGGCCAGCCAGAAGTTTAAACCCAACGCGTTTGTCGTTGGTAAACACTCTTCTGATAGCTTACTAAATTTAGCAGCGTCTGGTCGTCTTTCCTTACTATATGGGACCGGAGTACAACATAGTAAAAAAAAAAATGTACAATGAAAGTTTCGTATCCTCATAAACGTCATCGTTCTTTTCCAGCCGTCCTGGAAAAGAAGAAAGAAAATGTAAGTGCATGTCGAAAATACACTCGTATGTGCGTAAAAAAAGGGAAAATAAACTCATGAAAACGTAACAGCGTTAAAAAAATCGTTTTTTTTTTTTTTGTTTTTTTTTTTTTAAAAATAGAATTGAAAATATATAAGCCTATTTTAAAAAAAAATTTTTTTAATAATATAGAACATGTCGAGAAGTGCCTTACGTGCAATAGTCATTTAAATGTTCTGGAAATCTCACTCTTCTTCCAGAACGTGTCGTTTTAAGTTTATTTTCGGATACTGTCGAAGTATCATCGTGTGTGTTGGTTGTCGGATGAGGTATTATAAGTGTCGGAGTCGTGTCGTTCAATTGTACCGAAGGAAAATCCACGTAGATAGGATTTCCTTCTAAATACGCTGCTTTGAGGCGATCGATGCTGATGCTGTCGTTGGTTCCGTTCTTATCGATTATATAGTACTTCGGTTCGCGTTGAAGAACTTTGAAAGGTCCTTCGTATGCTGATTCGAAAGGTCGTCGATGCGAGTCTCGACGAACGAAAACGTGTGTACTATATCGTAACTCAGGTTGAATGAAAACATCAGTTGATTGAGGTCGAGTGGAAGCAGGTTTAACTGAACGCATTGCGTTTGTAAGCCTGTTCGTGTAGGAGGTTAGATCCATGCTCATTGAAGAGGATGAAGGATCCACGAATTCTCCTGGAAGTCGAAGTGTCGTTCCATAAACGAGTTGAGCCGCAGTGTATCCAATGTCAGCTTTCACTGCATTGCGGATACCTAGTAAGACGAGTGGAAGAGCGTCGGTCCACTGTGAAACGTTTGCAGCTGATAGTGAAGCTTTTAGTTGTCGGTGAAAGCGTTCTACCAACCCGTTTGCTTGTGGGTGGTAGGCGGTCGTTCGGAAGCGAGTGCTTCCTAATAGTGTGGTCAGACAACGGAAAAGTTCAGACTCAAACTGACGTCCGCGGTCTGTGGTGATGGTTGAAGGGCAACCGAAGTTTGCTACCCATCGTTCGACGAAGGTTCGGGCCACTGTTTCAGCAGTGATGTCCTTGATAGGTACTGCTTCTGGCCATCGAGTGAAACGATCTACACAGGTCAAGAGGTAAGAGTATCCATTTGAATCTGGTAAAGGTCCTACCAAATCCAGATGAACATGGTCGAAACGAGCATCGGGAGTTTTAAATGAGCCTAAGGGACATTTATTGTGTCTGATGACCTTAGATTTTTGGCAGCTTACACAGGAGCGTGCCCACTCCCTCACGTCTTTATTCATACCAGGCCAGCAAAAGCGTTCTGCTATGAGCTTGATGGTTGCACGAACACCTGGATGAGAAAGTTTGTGCAATGTGTTGAAGACATTGCGTCGATAATGTTTCGGAACGATTGGGCGATCTCTACCTGTAGATGTGTCACAAAGTAAGGTTTCCTTACCTGTTCCCATCTGTTTGATGCGTAGTTTAAGGGTTGTGGACGATAACTCTTGCTGAAGATCAGTGTCTTCTTTTTGAAGCTGGGCGAGTTTAAGAAGGTCGATTCCTTGGAAACTGTTCAAGGAGTTTATTCGAGACAAGGCGTCTGCAACTACATTGTTTGCTCCAGAAATATGTTGAATATCTGAAGTAAACTGCGAAATGTAGTCCAGTTGTCGAGACTCACGGGGAGAGTACTTGTCAGAAGGAGAGCTTAACGAGAAAGTGAGCGGTTTATGGTCAGTGAATAGAGTGAATTCGCGGCCTTCGATATAGTGTTGAAAATGCCGTACAGCACAATACATAGCTAGGAGTTCCCTACCGAATGTGCTGTATCTCGATTCGGTGTCTAGCAACCGTCTAGAAAAAAATGCCAAGGGTTGCCAGGAGTTGTTAATCCATTGTTGTAAGACTCCTCCGATTGCCGAGTCGGATGCGTCTACTGCGATACTAATGGGTGCTTCAGTGTCCTGATGTGCGAGCATTGTTGCTTTAGCGATCAGTTCCTTAACTGTGGAGAATGCTTTTCGTGCGGTGTCGTCCAAATTAATGGATTTCGCATTTCCACGCAGTTGGTCAGTAAGAGGTTTCATAAGTAATGCGCATTTCGGTATGAAGCGTCTATAGAAACTTACCAGGCCGTTAAACGTGCGTAATTGCTTGACGTTGGTCGGTTCTGGGTAATCCAGAATGGCCGCCACTTTGGTCCTAAGAGGTCGAATGCCTTGAGCATCGATAGTGTGTCCTAGGAAATCTAACGAATCGGTTCCGAATTGGCATTTCTGAACGTTTACAGTAATGCCATGTTTTTGTAATCGTTCGAAAACAAGATCCAGATGCTTGAGATGTGATTCTCTGTCCGGACTTGCGATTAAGCAGTCATCAACATACGCATGTACGAAGTTGAGGCCTCGAAAGACGTCGTCTATGAATCTTTGGAAAGTTTGCGCAGCGTTTCTTAGACCGAACGGCATTCGCAAAAATTCATAGAGTCCGAAAGGAGTTATGATAGCTGTTTTTGGTATGTCGTTTGTAGCCATAGGGATTTGGTTATACGCTTTAACCAAGTCGATTTTCGAAAAGACAGTTGTACCTTTCAAGGTAGCTGTCAAATCGTGAATGTGAGGCAACGGGTAACGATCGGGAATGGTTTTTGCATTCAATCGCCGATAGTCACCAGTTGGACGCCAATCGTTGCTGTCCTTTTTAGGGACCATGTGCAACGGAGATGCATAAGGGCTGTTTGACGGTCGTATGATTCCTAAGTCTATCATATGATCGAATTCGTTTTTCGCTAACCTCAGCTTTTCCGGAGCTAGTCGTCGTGCTTTAGAGAATACAGGTGGTCCTGTAGTCGTGATGTGATGTGTAACATTGCTGGTTACACACGGTAGTTTCGTTTGAGCTTGTTGTATCCCAGGGTACTTGTCGAGTAGTGGTTGATAGAGTGGGTCTATCATATGCTTAACTGTGACTGGGGATAATCTACAACCAGAAAAAGAAGTTACGCAAACGGATAATTTAGTGTTTCCATCTACTAGCCTCCGTTTGCGCGTGTCGATGATTAGATTATGATGTTGTAGAAGATCCATACCAATGATTGGCATAGAAACATCTGCAACAACGAAAATCCAATGAATGGGTTTGCGTAAACCCACGTTAAGGTAGACGTACCTTTTGCCATACGTGGCGATTGGTTTTCCATTTGCCGCCTGTAAGTTTAGAGTTGATTCGTGGAGCCGGTCGTTAAGATTTGCTGGGAGAACGCTAACTTCTGCGCCAGTGTCGACGAGGTAGCGAACTCTCGTTGTCACATCTGTGACGTACAACAGACGGCTATGTTCGCCGGCTACGGTTGCCGTTAACGCGTGCCGGCTTGGAAGTTTCCCGAATTGTTTTTCGAATCAGTCGTTTTCGTGTTGGGAAAATTGCAGGGTTTTCTGCAATTTCTGGAAGATTTCCCATACTGGTTATGATACCAGCACCAGTCAGGGTTATCTGTCTCTCGTGGTCTAGAGACAGATCGTTTACGCGAAATGCTTCTACGTGGACTGCGTGAGCGACTACGGTCGTTACGAAGATTAAGATAACGCGTGAGTGTATGACATAACTCGGTTATGTCATTCTGAGTCGCGTGAGGCTTTTCTTTGACGGAAAATACCTCTGAAGTAGACGATTTCGTTATTTCTAGAATACGATCGGCAGATGCAGCTAGCTCGTCTAAGGCGTTGTTCTGAAATGAGACCAGAACCGCTTGCACCTGTTGAGGAAGTTTAGACAAGAAAAGTTGTTTAAATAGACCTTCGTCGAAAGTCCTTAGGCCTATCACTTCTCTCATTCTTTGCAACATGTCAGTCGCAGAACCGTGTTGCAGGTCGATGTTATTGAAGAGTTGATCTAACCTTTGTCGATCGGTTAGGTCTCCTCGTTTAAGAATCGAACGTTTAAGGATTTCGTAAGGTTCGGAAACATCACTAGTAAACATACTAGGTGTTACGTACCTGTTGAATTCGCGCGGTAGTGCCTTGACTACTGCGAGGAATTGTGCACGTGTGTCGATCACGCCGTGCTCGGAGAAATCAGCTTCTGCGTAGCAGAACCAGGCTTCGATATTGTCGGGCCAGAAAGGCATGAGTTGAAACGAAGGCGGGGACAAAGTCTTAAGCTTGAGTACTTTGGGTGTCTGTTCAGCCATGATGAAAATATGAAGTACGATAACGAACGAGGGAAAAATATATATATATATCCCAGGAAAAACACGAAAAAAAAATCACAATGTTTAAAAAAAAGGTAATAATATATAAAAATCCCAAAAAGGAACAGACTCACAGTTGCAGTTAGGTGTACCAGATCACGACGGTCTCACCAATGAGGATGATACAGGTATTCAGTGTTTGACAACGCTTCTACCAATAACACCTTCTAATATGCTTTGTTCCCACCGAGAGAAATCAAAAGACAGAGTCGAGGAGATCGGAAGAGTGTATTTGGTAATAACCAATATATCGGGAATCTCTGATCTAATCTGGCTAGTGATTGCGATTGTTGTTGAGCACAGCGTGACAGCACGTGATCTGGTGCGGATGCATGACCGAGCGCCTTCAGCTAGATGAGTCCACTAAAACATATGGTCAGCATCCAATGTCGAAAACCTATTGAGCTATTTAGTTTGGGGATTTATTTACCGCTACAACAGTTCATTCAGAATTTAATTTTTTTCAGAATACGTATACAGCTGTTGATTTATCAAGTGTCACAGTGATAGATATACCAAATGTTGTGGAGAATTATAGTTTAACATTGCGTTTTGCTGTTGGTTTGTGGAGTAATAATTCAATAGTAGATGGAATGCAGTTTATTTGTAACTGTAAAGTTTCTGACGGTATTTCAGTGGTAACCAGTACAACTACAATCACATCACGTAAATTATGTACAGTTTTTCAACCAGAATTAAACATGTTATCTAATTTTCCATACATTGTACCGGGAGATATATTGCTGTTTCAAGCAGAAGCATATTTTACATTTGAAACCGGAAATTATACGGTAAATTCTGTTTTAAATTCCGTCTTTATTTGGTTAAGAAATCCTTATATTAAAGTGTAAAGATAATATTTGAATACTGTAAAAAGTAGATGCTTAGAGTGGGAAAATTGCTTCTTGTTATTCTACAGTCTGATGTGAATTCTAGTTTATAAAATATTTGTCTTTCATATTCTTAGATTTTCAAAACCATATCTCGAATCATGGAGAAACCAGTTGTAAATAGACCGTCTTGAATTTGCTTTTTGTAGTAGACAATATATTTTTCGTGAAATAAATTTTTTTGTCTATATAGGGTTGTGATACGGCATGCAATGGATGAAGAGTTACGCACGATCATGGATTGATTGAAATTAGACATTAACACCGACGGATTCCGGTTCAGCGGCGTACAGGTTAAGCCTTCATGCAAGCCTGAAGGTCCTGAGTTCAGTGGCGCGCGTGTGAGATCGTGGATTCGCACTGTTGTGAAGTCCCATACTAAGACGAAACGGCCGTACAACGACTTTAGACTTTCATTGATGGTCTAACATTGATTAGTTGATAATCTCAATAAAAAAAACCTTGAATATTCATATGTACAGCTTAAAAGTTGTTTTTTGATCACATTGTGTTATGCATTAATTTGTGATTTCATATTTTAAATGTCATCATTACTGTATTTCTAGGAATAGGCAACAATATTAGATGCATAGGTAGTGTGAAAGATCAGAATTGTTCAGTTTCCCTTTTTTATAACTCGTTATTTGATTAACCAAACAGTTAGAACATTAGGAGTGTCATATAAATACAGTCTGAACAGATAATGTGTGATATAATATAAAACACCAAAAACCATTACCCCAAGAAAATTATAGATTCAGCGTTAAGTTTACTAATGCATTGTTATATATTTAGTAACAACCGATAATTAGCTAATGAGTAAGTGAAATAATGCTTATTAACTTGATTTCAATTCGTTTGTGCAAAATTAATGGTCATAAGATAAAAGTAATAAAAATTCAGGATATGTTGAAGTAAAAGCAGATTAATGACTCGTAATGTATTATCATTTCTGTCAAATAAAGAACTAGAGGATTAAGAATAAAACCGAAAAATTTACATTCATAAACATACATATGCTATCTGTTAGGAAATCGTCTATCAATATAGATGACATATTATCATGCATTTCTGCGATTTATTCTATAGAGTGATTTGGCTTATTTAATACATCGTGACTAATAACTGGTCCCTCTAAATTATCATCTATCCATAGCTGTAGTTTGATGGTATGTCAATTAAAACTGCTGGTTGTCGTACATCACGGTGTTGCATAAATCATATATTGTTCAAAGGATTTGTCAACTAACATAACTTATAACACATGTCAATATCTCATTAAAAAACTTAACAACAAAGTTTTATATACGGATGTAAAGTAATATAAGGCAGCAGTTTTTCGGTCAGTTTTGGAAACATATCTTATCAACATGTCCCAACCGATACAAATCTAATTTCAGGATTTAATGTGGATGAACTATACGAAAACAGTTCTTGTTGAGCAGAGAATAGAAAGTTACATTCGGTTTCATTCACTAATATTTCATATATTTTACAGTTCACAGTATATATAATCGGTTCCTCATCTACTATCAGCAACTTTGAAGTAATTCTAGGTAATGGAATGAACTATCCAGAAGGATCTGAAGTTAGGCAATCCGAAGATGATCTGACACTTACAAAACAAATTGATGTGCAAATCAAAGGACTTAAAAATAAAAGTAATACGTTTTAAAAGTTTAATAGATTGAAATTTAAAATGAGTTATAAGATATTTATAATTTCCTTTGCTTTTATTTAAAGTGTATTTTGTTACCATTAAAAAGTGGCAATTTTTCCTTGTATTATTCAACATTTATTACATACGAGTTTATTTACATGAAATTCCAGATAATGATCTATCATAAATAGTAAATCATAGTAATTACACGTCAACCGCTAATAAATAGGTAAATATTCGAAAATAAATAAAGTACAATCAACAGTTAATGAATGGGTTTCAATATTTCTAAACGTCTTAACAAATTCTGTGGATATGAAAATCACTTCATATGATTTCTGATTGATTGAGTTTATTTTCACGATACATCAACTTCATTGACTATGAGAAATCGTTTGACAGTGTGAACATGAAGAACTTATGGAAACTTCTCCAACACTATAGTGTACCTGAGAAGATCGCCAACATCATACGGAATTCATACTACGGACTACAGTGCAAAGTGGTGCGTGGAGGACAGCTGATAGATGAATTCCAAGTAAGGACCGGAGTCAGACAAGGCTGTTTACTCTCCCCCTTCCTCTTACTTCCGGCGGTTGACTAGTTTATTAAGACCTCGATATCTGAGGGAAAGTACAAAGTATAATGGACAGCTCAGAATCAATTAGACAATTTGGACAATTTGGTAGCAGAAAGACAAGAGAATCGGACTGTAAGAATGGAAACAGAATGCGATTTGTATGAAGATACAAGAACAATGAAGTCTGGGCCATTTTGGGACAACTGATAGTCATTTCGCAGATTGATCATTTACTATATGGTTAGATTTTATCAACAAGTTATGTAATTTTGTGTCGAATACATTCGATTGTCCCCACTGGTGTTCTTGTTCACTACAGTAGGAAGTGGATTGAACATACATTGTGGAAGTCATCGAACTGCATCATGAGGGAAGTACTAACTTGGAATCCTGAATGGAAACGGAAAAGAGGAAGGTCGAAGAACACACTACGTCGGGAATCGGAGACAGACATGAATAGTATGAATAGCAACTGGAAAGTATTGTCCAAGATAAAGTTCGATGGACAGTGCTAGTGTGTAGCCTATGATACTCCACGAAAAGTAACAAGCGTAATTAGGCAAGTAGGCATATTAGAAGCTATATTATATCGTTTATAACTAGCTCAATTAGTGACGTTATTTAAAGGAAATAATCACTGAGATTCAATAAGAACGTAAATTTTTTCTACAAATGTTTTCAAATATTCATTCTTCAAATTTAAAGTTATTTTTAAACATAAATATACTCAACTGTATTAAGAAAACATTACAGATCATAAAAATCTGTTTTTTTTTCATTTTAGATGCTAGAGCGACATATCTGACTAAATCAAACCGCTCAGTGAAATTAAATGCATACATACAAGCTGTAACGTACCCATCAACGAGAGCAATAATTGGATTTCGATTCCGTTATTCTCAAGCTGATGTAATTATTCGTGAGATTCAAATACCTATTATAGCCAATTATAGAAACTTTATAAATGTAAGCGTGTTATTACTGTATTTAATTAATTGGTAGATATGTACAATTATTGAGATGGTGGAGAGGATTTGTAGCTCAGAGAACAAAGCGCCATCAAAGTGTACAGTTATTCTCTAAGCAATTCTGTGAGATATCAAGTAATATGTTGAACATTGAAAACATGATGAACATAAGCAGAGAAATCAAGTTCATCTTTTAAATTATCTGTATCTTGTTATACTAGTTTCAGTTAAAAGCTGGATAATCAACAGAATTAGGAATGAAAAATGACCAAAATAGAAAATGGAAATATGAATTATCAGGATTTTACAGGAGTATTTATATTAATTTAACGAATGTAGCAATCTGCTAGAAATATGACACATCAAAAGGATGCTGTGTAGTGATCTTTAGGATTTATGTCTGAAAGGACCAGCTTATACAGACATTTATCTTGATTGGTGTTTCAAATTTCGTCCAAAACATTTTTTCATCATGGAGTAAACATTTTTTAGCCTAAATGCCTAGAAAATTATTTAAAAACAAAGCAGACAATATTAAATATAGTGTTAACGGAAACTACGGTCAATAACTTTAACATTGATTCCATGAATATCCTATGAACTGCCACAGTTTACAATTCTTACACTGAAGAGGAATAACATTTCCTGTTCTGATAGACATGTAAAAGTGAATTATGGTGTGCAAAATGGTGAAATTACGATATTTAAACTTTTCTTAGTACTATGCTAACTCATTCAACAACTGGTGTACAGTGAGGTGCATTATGTTTAGATATAAAATATTCAGGACCCAACGATGACAAGCTAACTCATTTCCAGAGTATCACTAGTCTGTTAGCTTAATATTGCAAAAATAATGAGTATCAGGATTTTTCACTAATGTATTCGTATGCGTACCTTTTGTTTATTAAAAAACCGATTAGTCGTTAGTAAATCATTTATTGTAAACTCAATATATTAACCGATATGAATTCAGATTCACTTCTATGGGTACTCCTACTATAGCACTTTGGTCATTTTCATTACAATGATGTTTCGGTTGTTCGTTCTCTATTTTAAGAACCATCGATGTTATGGTATCATTAAGGAACTTTCACGAGGAATAAGAACAATAAAAAAAGTATTGCCATTAAATTTACTTCGAGTGTCGTGACTTGGTACATAACTGTATTTTCATCCCATCCCAACAAACATCATTCAGTAGACGTTTTGGGAAATTGATTGGATTGAAGTCGGTACTTAAAATATTTTTTTATTCGGTTGATATTCATATGATGGTCCTAGAGAAACTAGGCGACTTCTCAGTTCATTATAATACTTTGAATAATATAAATTCAAACAGATAAATTTGCGTGATAGATTTGACTCAGAAAATATTTGTTTGCCTCACAAATAAGAAATGCTGCGTATGCATTTGCTTGCGAATCGAAGTGTCTTCAAAGTCCATTACGTTTAATACAACGAAACTAGGAGACGTTGTGGGCCTGTTTCCTAATACACGAATTATTCTTATGTGCCAAAGAACCACATTCATAATTGTGATACTATTTCCCATAATATGTAGTCCTGTATACATATACCGCTTTGAAAAAGATAAATACTGGGTGTTCACATATTTCCGAATCTTTGAAGTAAATAACCCTAAAAACTCATTAACTTATCTCCTTCTATGAAGATAATACCCAGTTATCCTTCGTGTTTTCCAACGAATAAGCTTTACATGTAATTCTGATGTAAATGAAAATCACTTATCGTGGAATGAAATTAGGTTATTCTGTTGAATTCCTCACGTTCGTTCTTTAATTCCACCAGCTAGAGAAATTTTATGGAAAACAGTGTACTTAGGAATAAGGTTTCAGAAATCGTGATCATGTTCGAAGTAAAATTTAAATCCATGATTACACAATAACCACAGCTCAAGATTAAGAAAAATACAAACCTTCCATAAATTACTGACTTTTTATATCTATCCTAAAATAATAATGACCAACGATATCACTCTTAAAATTATTGACTCTGTCAGAATAGATAAAAGGAAAAATATAAAAGTTTTCAATAATGATAGGGTAAGTATAAATATTGAAACTATTACTGTTCAAGTTAGTGTATGATAAATTCAAATAAATTATTCTACTACCTTAAAAACTAACTACACTTTGGCTAATGAGAACAGTGAAATGAGCGACAAAATCTTTCTAAAACCACACATAAATCTGAGGAGTCCCATACTAGGATGAAACGGCCGTCCAGTGCTTCCAGGTTTTCAATGGTGGTCTAGCTTCAACTGACTCATGACTTCAATCTGTAAATAAGTGTTTACGAATTCTAATTTAAATACTCATAAAGTCAATTTTAACTGAATTTATCGTTGTAATTAATGTAACCACTCACAAGCCGATTGATAAAATATTGTCCCACAGTAAATTTCATTTTGTGGTGAAAAATGTACCAAAAGTGTGTGCTCTGTATAAAAATCAGGTTTATGACAGTGTTATGATCAGTTACTTCATGAAATTATTAAAAATGAATATTAATCTAATAATTCTACTCTTCGATTCATTATTATGTCTCTAGGTTTCAAACCCTACTTTCAACTTTTCAGGAATTTCAAGTCCAGCTAAAGTTGAAACATTCGCTGAAGTTTTTTTCAGTCTTAGACTTCCTCCTTTATCAAAGCAGATTTATGCTGTAGAAATAGGCTTTGATAACGTTTCTTTGGGTGAATTCTGTTATTCCACCATCACAGAAGTTGGAAAAGGGATCACAAACAGAACAACAGGGGTAAGTTACTAACACTAAAATATTTTACACAGTGAACTATTTATAGGAGAAATATTCTGTAATCTAAGTCTAGATTTCAATTAAGTGATAGTATTTGGTCACCAGTCTAAAATACAGCGACGAAAATATACTTAGTGATGAGTTAATGACAGTTAGTAGATTTTTGGTCTTAGATGATGATTGAACTGAAATATTTCGCGAATTCAGAAAACACCAGTTTTAATGTTTAAATTTGCAACATAAGAATAATTTACAACTTTTCAGTATGATTTCTATAACAATCATAAGTAAAAATATTAGTGATTCATGTTATCCGAGAAATCAGGAAACAATTTACATCTTAATTACCACTGTGGACAAGAGAAAATGAGATAAATTTATTGACAAACTTAATGACCGGTACCGACCTTTTGGATATTCATAGTTTAATCGTAAATGTTTAGTTTCTTATTTATCAGGATGTTTGATATTTAAGGTGGCTAGTAAATGAAATAAATTTCATTTCCATTGTTTAGGATACAAAAGTTCTTCTGTATAAATTTTTGATTAGTCGTTTTCTCAACTTTTATTATGAACTGAGTTATATGTTGTTTAAATGTTTATAACCGCGTTAATGATTTTGCTTTTTTAATCTGATAGATGAGACTGTATACGGAATATATGACTCAAAAGCTAACAATGCATCGAAGAATGGCGGTAATAAATCTTGGAGTATTGGAAAATCCAGCAACAAACAATACAGATTATTATGTGATTTTCAAAATAATTGTAAGACCATGGATGGATAAAGCTTTTCCAACAATCAGTGAAACTCAAATTTATGCACGGGTTTTCATTACGGGTACACCTCAACAACGACAGTCCATTGCATTTTCTGTTGTCGATGAGCCAATTTTACCGATTACAGTAAGATTTTAAATTTACTTAAGCTGTAGTTTAGTTTTCAATATCTATATTCAAAAAATTTGATTTCATAAATAAATTACATAACAGACTTTGCATTACAAGTTTCTTCTCGACAGAACTTTTTAAAGCATATAAATGTAGTTTGTAAGGAATGAGTACGTACATCAAAGTGTTAAGTAAACATCATATCTGCTCTATCCACTTGAAACTATTCTAATTTCAGGAAGTCAAATTAACATTTTCGTTAGTATTCTGTGAAAAACCTAATGTATAGATCTGCCATAGGTATTGTAAGTAATTGCTTTAGAAATAAAAGCCCATTATCTTATTATATACCATTTTAGGTAATTTTCCGTTGTATTAACGGATTTAAAATTATTTCTTTTATTATTTTCTATGTGTATGTTTAGTAAAACATCATTGACAGTAATTATATTTCCGTTTGAAGTATTAAAATCAATGGAATGGATGTTTACGCTGTATTCATATTACATAAGCACTAAACAATGCACATAATTTGTGAAGAATTGAGAGTATTTATAATATGGGCTTCAAATCCACTTTATGTGTGAGATTAAACTCAAAGTTATAGTTAGTTTAGTTTGTTGAGTTTTTATATTTAGATCATGAATCGATCAATGTTAGACCACCGATGAAAACCTGGAAGCACTGGACAGCTAATCCATGTCGGGTGTGAGGCAGTTAACCACCGGAGACAATCGAGATAGTCGCACAATTATGTTTATTGGTTGAAGTTATATATTAACACCGTTGGATGCCGGCTAAGTAATCTAGAGGATAAGTATTCGTGCGCAAAACCGAAAGTACTGGGTTCGGATCCCGTGTGCGTGATCATGGATACGAACTGCTGAGTCTCATACAGTGACGAAATGGTTGTCCAGCGCTTTCAGGTTTTCAATGGTGGTCTAAAATTGATCAATACATGGTCTCAATCAAAGCTATTACTGCTGAACTAATTTCGAAAAATTGTCATTCTGATTCATTTCTGATGCGTTTGCTGTGCCTTTAAAGTTTGCATTATGAGAACTTCGACTGTATTTTGAGAACCTATAAACATATCTTCAACTTTACGTTCTTGGTAATAAAAGATACTGCTTAGGCCAAAATAGTGTGCAGCTTATTTTACATATGTAGACAGAGAAATTTCACAAAATGCGACATTTTTCATTTCCTATTTATCTGTTTCTAAATCATCACAAGATGGCTAGATTTTTTCCAGTATATTTTTGTTACATCCCACGGTCAAGCCATATGCGTAGACGATCGTAAGCAACCAATGCACAGCAAGGACTTGGAAGAATGATACTTTATGCCTGACGGTTAGCTCAATACTAACTAGCTCCAAACGAAAAGGAAGCACACAAAACCAATCTTCGCCAGTCCAAGATCAATTTTATATTTCGGACGTGTATTTATTTTATACTATGTCAAACCACACAGCAGAACAATTCGGGTAACTGGATTAACACGGAATAACAGCATTATTGATGAGAAAACGGAATACTTGGTGCAAAAATAATTGGTTCTAGTTTATGAATGGAAGATGCTATAGCAAAAAATTACACTTCAAATGAAAGCCTAGAACTTGAGTAACAATAAAATAATAAAACCAAAATACTCAATCCAAATACAATCAATATATAAATAAAACCGTCGATAAATAGTTTTGAAAGTTTTTAGTTCATAGTTAAGTCATCTCCTTTTGCAAGTACTTCAAAGGTTTCAAGCTTGGCTTTAGAGAGTGTATACCTAAAGAATCGTAAATTTCACAGTCTTGAAAATAATAATATTTAAGTATAGTGAGAAAAAGAATTGGGATAAAAAGTCGAAAACCCATTTATTTCCGTATCTTCAGATACATTATTTATTCTGACAAAATATATTGATTTAAAAAAAATCAACAGAATCCATAGAAATAAAATAACCAAAATGACAGAAAATATAGCTAATGGTTTACTGGAGAATAACTGTTTTTATTTTCTTGAAACATGACAAGTTTGTATCACCCTACTTTGCCTTCTGCTTTCCCCCTATTCATTCGAGACAAACCTGTCCCAACATATAAAATGAGTTGAGTAATCAGATTTAATATACATAGAATCACTGGGGTTGAACCCATATATTTAAAGGATCCAGAGGTATGATAAGTTGACTAGTAATCATTTTGTAATAATAAATTAAGCATGATTTGATATAACTATTATCCAACATATAATTATCTATAAAACATAAGTAGCTCAAAATGAAATGGAACATTGTGCGAATTCTACTACCAATTATCGATATTAACTAAACCTTGGTACGTTGAATGCAAGTGGGAAAAAGGAAAGCTCACAGAAAGTGAGTTTTTGGTCGTAAACGAAGGAATCTAAGAAATAGAAAATTTATGTACTTTTATAGGTTTCTTATTACATAAGCGTCAGATCAGATATTGAGTCCATATTACCAAATTTAACTTACCAATAGTAAATATAACTCACTATTCATGAGAAATAAGCTTTTCAGTAGTTTTCAGGTCATAAAATATCATAATTAGGAAGAATCAAATGGGATTTGGATACTTGATTCAAATCTTCACAACCATCTAGGCCATATTCCTTTCTTTTTTTGTGTTTCCGTGGTTAATTTCAACCTGCAGTGAAAGCAAGTGAAATGAACAAGTATCTACGAAACACCTAATTAGTCACTATTCACGGATCCATAAGTAACCAGCTTCAGGATAGAAATCTAGATTTTTCAGTGAGGCACTTAATTTTTTGGGTAACTACGTTAGAGAAAATCATATTTTCACAACCCACACATATCAGGATAAATGAAAAAAATTCTAAGGTGCTATTTGAAAGCATTTCGAGTTTAAAGATTATTTATTGAAGGGAAATCTCTTCAATCTGTTGACTATTAATTTATTTTAAGTTTAATTATGCATACCACTCCCAGCTACGAACTTTTCTGCTGAATATTTAAATTATTATCTCATTTGAGCTTTTATACTAATCACTTCCCTGAAAAGTTTACTGAAATATAAGTAAAGGCAAACAACATCTGTCTCACTATTCAGTTATCCTATTGTAGAAAAAAAGTTAGGTGTCTTAAAAAGCGATCATAGATTTTTATCATACGAATAACTATTTCTTTTTCTTCCAGGCAAATAATTCACCCAACGTGAACCTTTACAAAACCGAACCTGCTCTAAGTGAACCTATGGATGCATATAACGGGATTCTATTTGCTGAAATTTCTTGGGTTGAACAAGTGATCTATAGTCCCGTCAAGATTTTACTTAGCATTGTAGGTTCCGGAACAAAATTAACTGAAATAACATTTATTTCGATTGGAAGGGCATTGATCACTGTAATCCCCAGAGCTTCAAATATGTCAATTACAAAGCAAGTTTTATGTATTGTTCATGTGTTAACATAAAAAATGTTTATAACATTTAACAAATAAAAAAACCTATTTCATCCAGTATTCGTAGCAAAAAGTTGATGAAACACTAAGTTATCGTATTGCATGCTATTAGTAAATGGTGTACTGTTCGTGGATTATTTCAATGTTTACCTGCGTATATCACACTGTGAAGTAAACAGATATAAGTACCAATACAATAATATTAGTAATCAACAATTTCATATCAAAATCGTGTCTTACCTAAAGATCTCTCATCTAATGACCATATATCTTTTAAAAATATTAAATACTATCGCCAAAATTTCAGCGGTTTTATTTGAATACGCGGATGTCATATATTTATATTTCAGTATTTGAACTCTCAATGGAGAAAGTGGTAAAAATATCAAAATGAATACCTTCGAGAGTCTGGTATAGAATAGGTAATACATCAAAAAGAAGTCCCAGTTATTTTGCCACAGGTCTAAAGTCAAGTTGATGGCTATCAACTAAATAATTGTTTTTTTTAGTTTACAAAATATTTTTTCAACATAATAACCAACTGATATTTGACATGAAGCAAAGATTTGATGAAGTCATTTTTTAAGAAGACGATATATGGTAGAAAGAATAAACTAGACTAAGCAAAAGGATTTATAATCGAATTTATTTTAAAGGAATACTATAATGAGTTAGTTCTTATTTACTGCTGAGGTTTATGGACTGGATTTTGTTGTTACAATTAATTGGAAACGGTATGTTAAAGTTGGTTCAATTTAAATCATATAAATTTTCGAAAATAATTTCTACGGGATTATCTGTCGTATTCTAGAATGATATTACGATGAAATGTAAACTCGACTAATTCATTACTATCATACAATCGTAAATTTACTACTGAAAGTATATGAAATGGAGTGATTTCTAGTAGTAAAATACACTTATTAAGTTATTATATCTTCAACATGTAATTGAATTGAAATTAAATTGTAATGATCAAATGGTTGCCTTGGATATTTAATGTTTATTGATAATATGGTGAAAATTTCCAGTTTATTCTATCATTGTTAATTTCTGAAAGTTTTCATGCTCTTATGAACAACATTAGTAAAATTGTTATAATACAGTTCGATAATCTTTTGCAGATAAAGTAATGAATAAACTTTTTAAATCAGCTTTATTTTAACAACTTATTTTGAATTTTCAAACTTCTCTTTTTTTTATAAGAGTTTTTATCATTAGATATTCCCTGAGACTATATTTCGTTGAATTATGTTAACAAATAAATGATATTTGCTTTCTATGAAATATTACTTTAATATAATTTGAAGCACTCTTTAAGATTTTTAACACTTAAGATTGAATACTTGGTGAAACATTATGAACAGTCCTACAATGTATGTTCTTTCAACGGATGCCATGTTCTTTGATCAAAGCAGTTACATAGAAAGCTCAGACTAATACTTATGAACTCTAGATTGTCTGTAGATTATAGGAAAGACTGAGACAAAGGTATGTGCGCGGTGACCCTGGTTTGATGTGTATTTCACTTTTGATAAACTGGTTATAATATTCCAACTAGGTATGTGCCCTTAAGGAGTCATTATCTACCTGGACTTGCCATGCAGGTGAAAGATGTATGCATTTATATACGTTGGATAACACGTCAATGTACTTATTTGTGAAGTTGAATCGAAGGTAAATAATACTATTCTGATAACTTGATCACTGCCTTCAATTGGTACATCAGTCTTTTCATTACGTATTCACTATGAATATGGGGCTGACCTAACGAAATTATTTTACAGTTACAGAAGCCACCCAACTGTTGGTTTGAAATTATTACAGAATGTTTATTCTAATGAAATATATATGAATTGCTACAATTAATTTTCATAAACATTACTACTTTATTATTTTCATCTTTTTCTTTAAAAGCAACACTGGTATAATTGAATTACCCTCTGTATATGTTGTTCCCACTCCTTATAAATATGACAATATATTAGTCATCAAGTATTCGGTCAAAATCGTCGGTACAACAAACTTCAAAGTTATATTAGATGTTATAACTGGAGGATATACAGCAACTAGTCAGGTTAACTTCGCACCGATTGCTGCCGTATCACCTCCACAATTGGTAAGTTATTCAAAAATATGCTTTGATTTTACGTTCGCTGTCTATTATTATGATTATCAGCTTTATTCAATATTACATTTTTGGTACAATATAAAATTCCCAGCAAAAATTATTCTAACAAATTTTCCTTTCTTACTTCTTGGTAAATTCTGACAATAAAAATTGAGTGATCGCCAATTAGAAGTTAGGAGTCCAGTTAATCGACATCTAAATAATGTACATTATTTTCGCTGCATATTGCTAGCAACCACAATATCTCTAATTAGGCCTTTTGTAACCTGTACAACGAAAAGTTGTGTACTTTTCAGAAACGAACCTGAATGGGTTATACGATTAATAGCCATAATGATGTATATAAACAAAAGAAAATTAGATAACTTGTTGAAATATCTAGATGGCAGGAACATGTAGCCCATATGTTCAAGCAGGCCGCCATTTGCTCTAATCATTTAGTTACGTGTTTGAGAGCATCAGCATTTAAAAATAAAACGATAAATCACAATGAAATGTGCCAAAAATTTAGTAGAAACACTACTTAGTCAAATTTGAAATTTCCAATCAAATTAAAAATAGTTCTAAATTAAATGTAATTGAGAAAATCACATAATCTATGTCAAGTGTGCATCATGTTGACAAATGTAGTGAATCCTCTAGAAAGATTTATAATGAGTATAAATTTATTGACTTATATTTCAGACAAGTAGTCAATTACCTTACTGGGCAATCGACAGTTTGGCAACCTCTCGCAATAATAATAGTGTAGTACGAGGTGCATTTAATTTACTTTCATTCTCCATGATTATATGTTCAGGCGCAAGACAAACATATTCAGCTCAACTCTACGTTTTACAAATTACAAATATTGTAACTTTTATGAAGACAAAAACTATTGTTTTTGGTCGTTCTATTAGTAAGTCTGGAACCTCGTCCACTATTGCCAATGCTAATACTATAAACTTAAATATGGCTTCACAGTACTTTGATAGTGAGTAAATTACTATTAAAAACTTTTATATTTATTGGCAATTTTCTTGTTTTTATTGTATTAACTTTTCTTAAGTGATTGAGATTAAAATAAAATATGAAAGAAATATTTTATTCCAAAAAATTTTTTCTGTTTTAAGTACGTAGTAATTAATATTTTCTTATTTCAAAGTAATAACTACTTACATCATCTGTAAATAATTTGTATCTAGTTACATTATCATAATTGATTGATCACTGGGTGGTAATCAATCTCATGTGTGTCAGGTCCTTCTTAGTGCAGATCGAATGCTATCGACCATGTTGCAATGTGGCCACCAGTCTAGGTGATTAGACCCTGCGGACACTATGTATTGAGATTAGATGGTGGTTGGAGGTAGTCGTCAGGAAACCCTGGACCCGGCTTTCGTGCTACTTGGTACTCGTCAGCAAGGTGTACCTGTAAGCTTGAGGGAACTAGTGCTCCCTGGCTGATTCGATCCCGTGTCACCCAGCTTCACAGTCAGAGACTTTACCATTGAGCTATCCGGGCCGTGGCTGACCTCCTGTAGGACTGAGATGTAATCGTAATTGATTGATCACTGGGTGGTGACCAATGTCATGTGTGTCAAGTCCTTATTTAGTAATCGGACACGATAAGCAATGATACAAGCATAAATCTAAGATGATCTGTCTTTCTTAACTTAAAGCTGATGGTGTAAGATTTAAAAACACATTTGATTGTCGTATAATATAACAGAACTATGTAAAAAGCTGCATTGTAATTAATCGACAAATTGATTTACACTTCGTGATCAATTAAATTAGATAATCGGATTTAGCAAATCATATGAAAGTTGCCTACGATCCGTTGAATGGCTAAATTGCTTACTAAATTTCCTACTTGCTTTTGCTTGACTAATTACTTAAGCATATTACAAGATTTATCAAATTCCGATCTTTAAGTTGACTAAATATAGTATCAAGTTAAAAAGTAAAGTGCACAGTACAGTGTGAATTTCCATCCAGCATTATATGCCGAATAATCTAAGGTTTTTCTCTAGATAGTCAACAAATATTTTACTAATTAAAAACAAAGATTATAGCCATACAATCTGAATGAGAAATTATATAAATTTTATTTTATTTGAAAATGAAGGAAATGTCATAGCCAGTATGAATTAGTACTTAGTGTATCAGTACACATCAGATCTTGCTCTTGAATAACGTGTTTCTTCACTCGACAAATATGTAGTGACTAGTGACCTCATCAATATTTACATGATATTTATTACTAACTTACTCTCTATTTGATATTATAGTAAGGGAAAATTTAATGTTGCGACAAATTGGATTATGAATCGTTTCTGAATGGTTCAGATTTGTTCATCTCATTCCAGATGATCTGGCTTGAATTTCCCTAATTGTTACTTCTAGAAAACCCGTTGCAAGAAATAGAGTTCACATAAGCCACCACTTTTCTAACTGACATTAATGTACAAAAAAAAACGAAAAATGCTCTAAACAACTTTTCTAAATATTCATTATTGGACTTTTTATTAAAATTAGAGAACTTTCATTTTATCTTAGTACTAACTAAAACTAATTTATTATCACATATGATTTTTAGGTAGTGAAAGTATCTCAAATTCAAAAAAGGAAAGATCAATAATCACTTTTCTTGTACCCTTAAATGTCAATTTATTGGCATCTTCAGTTGTTTCAGTGAGTGTTACAGTTCAATATGGAACACAATCAGCTCAAACGTTCGTCAGTTTACCTGTTATCCAGCCAGAAGTAAGTAATGTCGTTTCATTGAAACTATTTATTCATTTTAATCATGTGGTATGTAATTTATTTTACTTTCAGATAGATAACCTCTTAGTAATTTGTGAACTGTTTCATTCTAAATAATCTTCTTAAAGCCTTACTCTTGGTAATAATCATGTACTTACTGATAACTAGCTTTGAGATGAACTCCTGAAGTTCTAGTAATAAGCTGCAACTGATATTATTCAAGCATTTCCTAAATATTCCATACTACACACATTTTGTTGCGTACTGTGGAAAGTTAATTCTTGCTAGCTAAAATAAATGAGCATGATTAAATTATTAGACTAATACATATCTGTATTTAGTACCTGTATCGTAATGAAGCAATTTTCTTCTGTTCTGCTGTCATAATCTTCTACCTTCTGAATAATCCAACCTATAAGTGAATAGAGATATATCTTCGTCATTTGCACTGTATGCTCTCACTCAGTTAATCAAATAAAAGTGATGTCCCAGCTTTATCACAATTTTATTTAAAAGCCAAAGTGTAGCCAAACGATTGAAAATTCTATTGGTTATATACAATGGAAAAATTCAATCACAACAAAAAACCGATCATTGTTTATGGATAAATAAATACAGATATACTATCATAAACTGCATCATTTTTAAAAGTTCTTAAAACTCATCCAGTTGTAATGTTCAAACTTTATTTTTACTCTCTGTTTTTATTTTTAAATGTAGTCGAGTATACCACAAACTTCTACCAGTTATCAGATAGATGCCATTAGCTTCCAAGACAGACCATATGAACGTACTTCCCTTGTCGCACTTGGACAAACTGTTCGACTTTATAATAAAATTGGTCTTCCAAACACTATGTGTACAACATACTCATTTGAATTTACTATGTCATCCAATTTATGGCCAATTGATTTTCTTGATGCACAACTCGTGAGCTATAGTGATTTTATATGGTCCACTAGTACTATCAACCCTTTAATAACTAAGTAAGTAAAAATAACTACTCTATAAAATTATATATATTTTCAGGTAGAATTCTTTGGTATTTTGATTTATTTGTTGTCATCCATAGTCTACTTATTTGATTTTTACTGACAAACTAAATCTCTTAAATGCTTCACATTGGCCTTTGATCTAGATTGTGAATAAAAATCAGTGATAATTCATTGGATTATGCACTTTATATAAAGCGTTTACGGTAGCTAGATTTAGTAAGCAAACAGCATGTATACCTTTATTGAAATGATTTATATCAAATGGTAATACGACAGTCAAAATGTCAATTAACTATTTGAACGGTTGATTAACTGAATATTGGCTAAGCTTGTGACTTTCAATCGACAAATGGTTGATATCCAAGATTGAAACTGTCTTTTCTGTTATGCATTTTAAATAAAACTGATGCTTTACTTATAGGCAATGAGTAATCCATTGACGTGTTTTTCCATAATCATGTAGGATGATTTTCAATCATATGTCTATGTCATATAACATTCTATTACAATCGACCAATGAATTCTTAATATTTATTATATTATGGTTTCACTTTATTCACGATATTTTCTAATCAGAAAATGATATCCTTAAACAATTAATAGTTTAGAAACAGTTTTTGTCTATTCATTCTGACCTATAAGAAATAGTTTAAAGAAAATATTACTTTCGAAATGTTAAGATGCAATATGACTTAAATAAATTACTTTCATGAAAAGTTTAAGTCCACTGAAACGTTCTATCAGTCTAACTTAGGGGCTGACGAAATATTAAATTAATTACTCATTATTTTTTCTTTAAACTTAAGTCGGTGTTGATAGCCTTTACTTCTATCGACGTACAACATTTAAAAATTAGTACCATTTCAATAACAATGTTAAATTAATGATAACATTTTCTATTTGAAGTTAGACATTAACACCACTGGATGCCGGCTCGGTGGTCTAGTGGTTAAGTGCTCGCGCGCGAAGCCAGTAGGTCCTGGGTTCGAGCCCCGCGTGGTGCGGGATCGTGGATGCGCGCTGCTGAGGAGTCCCATACCAGGACGAAACGGCCGTCTAGTGCTTCCAGGTTTTCAATGGTGGTCTAGCTTCAACTGACTCATGATTTCGACTTGTGGAATTTTCTATTTTATTTTAAACTACATTACCTAGTGAACTCTTTCATTACAGATACATTAAACATAAACAACAGTTTTGTACTTGATAACAATAACAAGTAACCATTTTTGTAAACCAAAAGTTTATACTGAAAAACTATATATACAATTTTAATTAGTTAAAAAAAATACACAGTATAAACGGAATAAAATCAATCTAAAATGATTGTATGCACATCGTACTGAAGAATTTACAATTGACCTAAATAAACTGAATAATTATATGTGAAAATCACATTTGAAATAATCTCGACGATTGGAATTTAAATAATTTCAACGTTTCGTCCAGCTAACTTGTCGAGACTTCTTCAGAGTAATAATCAAAATTAAAATCATCAGAGAAATATAAGAATGATGACAATGAAATATAGAGATTTTAAAACTGTGGTTATTAGGTTTAAAGATGCTGTTCTGTATGTTCATGTATTATCTTCAAAATTTTGGATAAATCAATTCACTTTAAGGCTCCCTTTCTCTTATTATTCATTAAATAATCCAGTCAGATAGTTTAGGATAATTAAGACAGTTTTCGCCAGAAACTAACATCAACTAGAAAACTATTTTAAACGAGAGAAAGTAGGGCAGTTATTTTGCCATAATTTAAGTATATAATTTGAATTGCCGACTAAATGATCCGAATGAATACAGTTGGTGATCAGAACTATTTTCACTTCTGAAATTAATTGGAATGTAATGACTGCCATATTATTGAATTATTTATTTATAGTTAATTTCATGTTTTTGTGTTTTCTAGATTAGGTTCACCAATATACAACAAAATTACTATGGACTTGGGATCATTATGTGTTCCGGAAACATACGACAATCAGGTAAAATATGTAATGACTTTATGGATGTCTTCATTTGTATCCACTATACTACCATTTAAATAAACTTAGCTCCATGCAGGGGATGATAATTTGTAATCGTAACTTATGATCTCTTTTTTATTTCTTTACGATAAGTAACTTCATTCAGCATTCAACCTAAGCAATACCGACTGATATCTTATAGATGATATTTTAACTGTTTCATTTCTTTTGCTGTTGCAAGCTAAAATATTTAAAGGCCGTTTTGGAGTAACAACCTTATTGATCCCTACTTGTTTGAAGTAGGCATCTATTTATGCTGTGTATTTTCTTACTCATCGCTTGATTAGTATAAAAGTCTTTTTAATATATCTTTGACTAGTTATTATTATAAAAGAAGTTACTTATGACTTAACATTCTAGCTTTCAGTGGTTGAAATATGCAGATATACACTTAGCATTTCAGTTGTAATCAAATTCACCAAGAGATATACCCATGACTGCAATTATAGCTTGAATTTATTTAACTGCCCAAATGAATTGAAACAATTACTTGGGCGGATGATTAATCCTATCGTTATCTTACTTTCTCTTATTGATCTGTCCGACCATTCAAACTTATCAAACGAAACAGATCCACTTTAAATACACTATAAATTCATTCAGTAGGTTAAATTGAAACATATCGATTCTATCATATGCATTTGTATTTGTAGAAGTCATCAAATAAAGCTACATACACATATGTTTAGCCGTCAGTGATAATGAAATTTGAAAAATTAGAGTATAATAAAACGTGTTCGTCATTACAGATGAACTCCGAGATTAAGAATCCCGTGTATAGATAATAATAACTGTCTAGCTTCATCATAAGTACTGTATAAAAATTTATATATAGTGCGCTTAATATGGGGTTAAACACTTTACTGTTTGATCTTATCTATATGTCATGTCTAGTCTCAGACAAGTAATCCTATCAGTAAAGATTTAGAATCAACACTTGTTTTGAGGAAGATAATCTAGCATTTTCCAACTTCTTACCATTATGTTCTAAATGATCAACTATACTACTTAAAAAAATGAAAAGATATCAGTAGTTTGTTTATAAAAATTAATTGTATTACAGAAAATATGATATGATACTAATTATATTTTTCACTGCTATTTACATTAACTAACGCGTCAAACATGGTTACCATTAAATATCTTCATAATTATTTTCAGTTATATGAAAATACTGTAAATAGAAAAATATTCTAATGATTATAGTAGTTTGAGATGAATTTGCGAAATACTATTTACGTTTGTTTAGTATATTACACTTTAACAAATGGTATTTTATTGCACATTTTTGTAAAATGATTCCTTTAATTCTGTGAAGTATTTAAGAGACATATTTCCTTGGATCAATTGAAAGAAACTTCGTAACATAGTATTTTTAATAAAATTGAAAAAGTCGGCAATAACACTTACACGTATCCTCAATAAAAACTCAAGTCCACAAGTACAATTCCAGTATTATTTGACTTTAGATAATTCATAGTTAATATTATCAACGATTGGAGTTAATGTTAAATTCCCGGTCTTCTGAAGGTCAGTTTAACATCAATTGCATGCCACGAATTTATAACATGTGATCAACAGCTGTCATTAGTTAAGATAATGGTCTTTCCATAACTTTGAATCATAACAATAAGGAAATTTGAATACTCGATTGCCATATCTAGTAGTTACGATGTTTGTATGATTCCCAGTTCTTTTGAGATACTGAATCACATCAGATTCCGCTCACTTGCCAGATAAAGCATACCGAAAATCTACACAAAACTAATTACTATATATATGCTCCATTGATTTATATATGTTAATTGTTAACTCCATTGAACACATTTTCTACCTCGCATGAGAATTAAAAGAAACATGTCACTATAATTAAAATCACAAGCCAACCAAAGTTAGATCACTGAGTACATCGAAGCACAGGACAGCCGTTTAATGCTGGCATAGGACTCCTCGACCAGAAATCAAATTCATAATCTTTGGTTTAGTGACCGAATGCCTAACCTCTAGACCATTGACCCAGTATCTGATAGTGTGCACAAATCTAGCTTCAATCAATCTATTATTAGATCTATACTTAGGAAGTGACAAATAATGAGTGAACATTATGCAGATTTTATCACGAAATAATTATTGACAGAAATAATTTCATATATCAACACGAAAATTATTCAAATTTATTTACTTTCTTCACAGGTCCGCATTGACCTATTTTTTCGCCCAAGAAGTAATTTTTCAGCGAGTACTGTAAATGGAAATATAACTGTGTCTGTTCAAAGTTTGCTTACAGTGGGTACTCTATCTAGTCCATTATCTCTGTCAACAGGCATTTTTGTATTTAATAAAGATGCACTCATGAAAGAAAGTATGTTTGTATTACCATCATTCAGTGAAGACAAGTATGTAAGTTTATCTTTTTGATCTACTGGGAAAGTGATGTGTGTCTATATATTAGCAATGGGCAAATATCATTAAGTTTATCTGCAATGTTATAATTCAAATCATCAAAGTAAAAAAGAGTAATGAATTGTAATAATCTGCAATTTAAACTGCTTTTACTAATTAGACACAATGAATGAATTTTTTTCTGGTGAACTAAATTACTTCTATAAATCTTATAACCGATAATCAAAAGAATAACCTGTTGTTAGGTATTCACTCCTAAGTTAGCAATAAGAATAATATTTTCAAAAAAAGACAGCTGAATCTTAAAATTTGATTTGATTTCAGAAACCTTCGATCAAAAACATTACAAATGGAATTTCTTTTCAACCAGGCACATGGACAAAGTTCTCATTTAGAGTACAAGTACCATTTGCCTCTTATCTGCCTGATTCATCTATCTTTGTGGGTGGTGCTAATTCTAGTGCAGAGAATGAATCAATTTTTACTGTTAATGGTGCACTCTTAACTTTTGGATCTAATTTGGCTGGATTACGTTTGGACCAATTTAAACAAGTATACTCATCTACATATATGAATGGACAAAAGGATTTGTTGGAAATAAAATTGGGAAATGTTGTCAATACAGGTAGTAAATGATAATACGAAGTTAACACTAGTCATTTTTTCTGGCTATGTACACAATAAACTTATCGACTGATTGATCTTTAACACGTTTGTTACGTGTGAGACAAAGACACATTTGTTAGCTAGCATCTGTAAATATTACAGTAATTATAATATATATATATGGGCAAATGTCAGTTAAGTAGTTATATAAGTTGGTATTAATCAGTCAGGTTGAAGATCTGTAAAACGTTTGAAATTAATATTTAATCCTTAAGTCTGACAAAGGTTCTGGACTAGTTTTTATGAATAAATGTGACTATAAGGTAAAAATGTTATCTGTACTTGGTGATCAGAGTAAGTTTTTGGCAGACGTTGTATCCAATATTGATGTTCGAAATTAAGAATCCAGGTTAAATTTCGATCTAATGAAGCTACTTAAAATAAATTCCATAAACAAAACGGGATTTGATGTGCTGAAATCTACCGGTTATTTTCTCTCAAATTTATATGGATTGCCTAAAGTTCACAAACCTAATAGTCCATTACAACCAATATTATCTATGTGTGGTTCACTTACACATGAACTAACAAAATGATTAGCTGAATTACTGAGACTGATCCGTAATAAACTGTATAAGTTTTCCTTGAAAGATACATTTAAACTAACTGATCTTCTTGATGATATCAGTATTAAAGAAAAGATTAAGCATTCTTTTGATGTAAACTCTCCTTTTTACGAACGTATCTTTAACTAAGACTATTGGTTTCCTGTTTAACCATATATCTAGTGATTTCCTTCTTTTTCCTATTCGGTCGACACTGTTGAAAGAACTACTTATGTTGCTATGAGTAGCCCTCTGGCGCCTCCCTTAACTGATGTATTCATGCCATATATTGAAAATAAAACGAGCAGGCTCAACAGTAAGTTAATTCTATACAGCAGATACATGGGTGATATACTAGCTATATGTGATTAAGATTTCGATGTTTTTTCAGTTATTAAATAAACTCAATAGTGTACAGAATGATATCATAATGACCTATGAGGAAGAAAGTAATAACCGACTGCTCTTTTTGGACATAATTTTGAGTCGAAGAGAGAATATAACTATAAGGTGGTCAGTTATAGGAAGCCAATATTTAAAATTTTACAGTTTCTATCAATTGCAACACAAGGGAGGCTTGGTTAAGTGCATCCTTAATAGGATTAAAAGAATATACGAGTAAAGAAGACACAAAACTGCTGACTAACAAAATAAGATCAAAGTTTTATCCATTAAAGTGTATAAATAGGTGCAAAAGTCAATCAACCCCAAAACCTCTCATTTATTTTGTTCTGAAGAAAACTGTTTATATCTCTCTAACATTTAGAGCTGAGTCCAACAGCATGGTCTTAAGCTAGAGATTAAAAACAGCCATCGAGAAGATACAAGCAGGACAGTACCAAGTGAATGTATCTAGATGGTTCAAAAATCAGTTAATGTCGAATGTTCCGATCAACGTAGGAAGTAAGAAACCATGTCCATCAATAGCAAAGCACATAAATGAAATGAGACATAAAATTGACATCAATACTGTTTTAAAAACGTTGTATAGAAATTGTCAAAGATGAATTCCTAGGTTTATAGAAGCCGTGGTGTGCGGTACCGAAAGTCTTGCATTCGCTTCCCGGTTACGGGGTCGTGGATGCACTCGACTGAGAAGTCTCATACTGTGATGAGGAGGGTGTCTAGTGCTCCACAATTTCCTGTGGTCATCTGACTGAAATAATTTCATGATTTAAATCATAAAAATAATGGTTCGTTAGGACTTTAAGTGACAATATTTTCTTGAATTATCATTTACGATCTTTTCATCATGACTTTCTGTCCAAACATTTCTGACATTTTCAGAACTATTTATGTATAGAAATCATTAGATTGATTAAGTTTGTACGTGTTTGTTCGTAAATGTTTATGATTTATGAACCCTTCTTTTATAGTTTTTCGGCACAGAAGATCCTTTTTTGGCTGTAGTTAACGTATAATAATCGCGAACTTATTTATTAATCCGAATCAAACAACATAGATCCAGCATAACTTTAAAGTTGTCATAACATTCTCAACTGCTTATAATTATGTATATGTAAGGTTGAGAAAGCTTCTATTTATTTTTGATGAATGTAAATTTCTGATATTCTTTTTTTACGAAACTTCTAGGTGTTCTTTTACAACCAGATTCAACCAGTATAAATGAAAATGACATAGCGGTTGAAGTATCGATTCGCTTATCTGATAGTAAACTTAGTGATAATGGAACAAATGTTACGCTTCCTATTCGAGTTAAATTTGGTAGCCTCGAAGCTGTTAATCAAATGGAAGGCAAAGTGTTCAGGGTTGGTGATGAATTCCTTAATCTACAGATGAATGTTATAAATTTAGATGAAAACGTGACTGGTCTGGTATATAATCCGAAGTAAGTTTATCTTTATATATATATCAGCAGTCTGAAATTATGAACATTTTTTAAATTTTATGGCACCTTAGTAATGCGTAAATTACATTGATATCAGATGGGACTAATGCCTTTCATAAGTATTTCCCTGAAGAATTAAGGAATACGGGAAAATTAACGGGTCGTCGAAAGCTAAATCCAAACATAAACTGTTTTTTCGATAATGCAATGAGGAGACTAAGTTTATCAGAATTATGTGATATATTTGCGCAATACATTACGAACAATCAGATCACACATATACTTGTTAAGACATTTTTATATGAAAATTAAAAGAAACAAACGAATTCCAATGGTAAAATTATATCACGGGATAGACAGACATCATCCTCCATTGCGAAACATTTGATTGAGACTGGTCATTAGGTTGACATCAAATCAGCATTTGCAATGTTGTACAAAGGCCTTCAAGGACGTATACTAAGGTTTATTGAAGCCTTGGCTATACGGAAACTGAAACAATTCATCCCTACCCTTAATCTACCCTGGTAATACTGATTTATTATCCAGAATGGTTATCACATTGTTTTTGTGTACTTTAATATTATTTTTTCTTTTTTCTTTGTTATGGCCTACCTTTAAGCTGTCTAGCTGACCTTTTAATTTCCATGTAAAAGATGTCTTAACAAGTATATGTGTGATCAGATTGTTCGAAATGTATTGCGCAAATATATCACATAATTCTGATAAACTTCGTCTTCTCATTGCATTATCGAAATTTATCAAAGGGGCTAGATGTTATAAATTGCTTTCTTTCTTTGTGTAACAAAATAGTTTTACATTAGTTAGTACATTTTTACTTACTTGCTTACTTACGCCTGTTACCCCTCGTGAAGGAGCATAGGCTGCCCATCAGCATTCTCCATCCAACTCTGTCCTGAATAATCCTTTCCAGTTATTTCCAGTTGTTATTCGTTCTTTTGATGTCTGCTCCTAATGTCTAATTCAGTGTGTTCCTAGGTTTTCCTCTTTTCCGTTTCCCTCTAAGATTCGAAGTTAACGTTCACCTTATGATGCAGTTTGATTATTTCCACAATATGTGTCCTATCCACTCCCAGGGTCTTTTTCTAATGAATGCTTATTTTCTACACAGTTTCGACCCAAATTATAAAACTTTGAAATTACTACTCAGTCAAAACAGGTACATAATAGTCATTTTCACTTTTGAAGAAATGATGTACATCGTAGACGATATATCACTTATACAATTAGATATATGAATGCGAATTACTCAGGTGCTTTATCATTTGTGGTTTGAAAATATTACTGTTTCCAGTGATACAATAAACATGAGAGCTAAAATTCAAATGATGAATAACTCGAAAATGGAATGTGGAAAACAATGGCTAAATATTTATCACAGTATGGCCGTAAAATCAGCAGAAATTTTGTACTCCATACCACCAGACTCTGTTCAGTTCAAAAGAAATGAAACAATAACTGTTAAGGAATTCACACGTTTTCAAGTAAGCTGACTTTTATTTTTCTAATGATTAACACCCCTTCCGACTAAAATTAATTTAAATGTTTATGTAAACTGGCTGAAAGAAATTATTAGTAAAGTGTTTTGTCGAGATTATTGAGTTGAGCTTACATCACCAGCTGACTCTAACTACAGAGACCATTGAAAACCAAGAAGTACTGAACAGCTTCCTTGTCTAATAACGGAACTGTAAAACTATATGATCCCGTCACAGTATCCTAGGTTCGATATCCGAATGGTTGTGGGTGTGTGCTGATGATTAGCATACTACAGAGAAAAATTTATCAAGTGCTTCTTGGTTTTTAGTAGTTATCCATCTACACTCAGACTGTGATGTAAACTGTAAAACAAATTACGGAAACTGTAATATAGCAAATGAGATGGCTGTTTAAACCTAAATGAACGTTAACTGGTTGTCATCCTATTTCATGTTGTTGGATTCATTTTAATAGTCAATTTTTAATATGACGAGTTCGCTTAGTGATGGACCTTAAATTATGTGTGATATTCAGGGGTTAAACATATCCAAAACAATTTTATTTATTGCAAATCGTGCTTGTTGTAACAGGTGTGACTGCAGGTTATGATAAGCAGTGTTTATATCGATCGCCTCTGTGACACGTAAACACGTAATGAACGACCTAGTATCCCGATTGGCCCTGCTTCCCTGTCTATCCCAGCCAGTTGAGTCCAGAACGAAAGTCACAGCCTCCGAGATATGAATCATTGTATTTCAGACATACTCTATTTATATACTAACCAAACATACCACATCGTACCATAAATATAGAAAACAACATTTACACAATATTAAACAAGTGAAGTAAATATCGACCAATAGGGAATGTACATTTAGCGTCCAAGGACAACATTAGACTTAACATGATAACTATTGGTATATTTTTCTGCACATCCTAACAGTGCTTTAATCTAGAGTTTTATCCCCTTTAATTAAGAATGAATATTTCGATGTTTTCGGATCGTCATAGAAACTATTTTAAAACTAGTGTTTTTTATGTATTTGTGTAGGTTCAGTAAAGTCTAATTATGAGTTCGACAGAAACTACAGTTGACATGCAACAAAATCAATGTTTCATAATTCTTAATACAGAGAATGCTCAAGTACTCATGAAAACATTTTTTCCATATAGATTTTTAGAAATACTTCTTACCCACAATTGAAGTTTTGATTTTTCAATTCATTATACATGTACAAAGTATATTCTAAAACAAGTACTCTAATCATAAACACGCAGTTGATGTTCGGTATTTTACTTAAAAGAATTATTAGTATAACATGTAAGTCAGCCAAATCAGACATGTCAAATCATAAATACTTCAAAATGTAAGGATTCGGACAATGGTCTCTTCAGTTAATTAAAAAATACAATCACAAAGCGTCTCACGGAAATTTCTTTTTCCAAATCTCTTTCTTATATTTAACAACCAGCAACTAAATAAAAACAATTCCCTTAAACTTAATTGTACAAATCTCATGTCGATTGTCTTTAAAGAGTATTATATTCACAGAGTAAAAATATTTATTTAATCTTTTTATGAAGCATACAGTTTGAAAATGTCACTGCATACATCTTTTCTTTGTTTAGGCAAATGGTTTCTATTTTGATAACAATATAGATCTCTACTTTAAGCTACAGCTAAATGACAAGATATTCATTCCAAATGGTAAAACAGAAGCAAATCTAACAATAGTTGTCGAACTTATTTGTATTACATATAATCGGGATAGAACTCTATTAAATTCATGCAATAATCCGACATTGAAAAGAATCATGAAGAAAGTTGTGGTTAAAACTAAACAACAAACTATAACGGGTAAGTTTTATTAACACACATGTTTTGTCATAGTTTACGCCATAGACTGGTTTAGTTAAATGACCACTGAAAATCAGGAATTATTGGGCAGATGTTTTTGCTTAGTGTGTGACTCCTCAGCAGTCCGCATCTATGGCTCCATCGGGAGTCATACCTAAGACCATCGATCCGACAGCATACTCTGAACATCTAAATCAGTGTTTAAACACTAAAATGTATTCTTATATCTTTTCGAACCATTATAAACTGAAAATTGCCCATTACAAAGTTATTTTTTGTTAAAAAAAAAAAAGCAATTCGATCTCTAACTGACTTCGTCTTTGTAAAAAATAAGTCACTTTTTTTTCTCAGCCAAAGCATTATAATGTTAATTCGGTAAACTGTTATTATTACTTCTGTAAAACTACTAAAAGACATCACAGATTAATTGGATAACCCTATCTGGTTTCACAAATCTGTGATCCTTTAATTTACTTTAATCTTATCTTCATTCTTATAGGTTCAGATTGTGAAGAAGATTTGGGCCTTTCTAACAGTAAAATAATTTTGCCCTGTCAGATTACTTCATATGTGTCACCCTATCTTGGAAATACAGAAGAGCAAATTAGATTCTATTCAGCGTCCGGTTGGAAACCATTTGTTCGTCCAGGACCACATGATCCTTTGCGTTATATCACTATTTTATTCGGCCAACAGACAAATGTCAGTAGAATAGATATTAATCTGATAAACACAGCTAATCAAGTTATGATTTTCCACTTGATGGGAACCAATGATGGTCAATCGTTCTTCGATTTTAAGACAGTAAGTACCTGACACCTAGAGGTGGCCCGAAATCTCAGGAAAGTTGAAAAAGTAACACACCGATTTAATTCCTACACCATTTTTAAGTTAAAATAAGTACCATCCCAAAATGAAGTCCAAATTTATTAATCAAGTTTACGTTAATCTTTTCATATATTACCTTTGTTAGTAAGCGTATTGTATTTCCAAGTCGAATCAATAAACTGATTAAGGTGGTTGAAAACACTTAAATCTTAAATGTATTTATTTTGTTTCTATAAGGTTAACTTCTCTCATTTCACACATCGCTATTGATAATAACAAATTTTGATTATATTTTGACATTATGAGATTAATACTATACTATGTACTATTATTCTATCCATAAGATAACTAGTACTTTTCTTTTAAATACACATTGAATATTTCTTTATAATCGATACCAAGATGAAATTTTAGCTTATGTAGTTCTATTGATCATGTACAAATTTAATATTAGTCACTAATGTGCAATCTTTTTATACATAGACTCAGGTTTCATGGCAGTATGAACTGGAAACTAAATTGTATCTTTGAACTTAAAAAGAAAATACTAACCCCTCTCACTTAATGTGAACCTTTATCATTAACTTATGAAGTTATATATGTTACCACTGAGTTAATCGAACTACAGTTTACTACCAGTAAAACTGAGATCCTGATTTCATTAAATTGCTTAATATGAAATGAACTGTAGTGTAATGTCAAACACACATATTAATTTAATTGATAGAATTTAGTCGGTATTAAACAAAAGATAACGTGACAATTTTAGAGTACAACTTGTTAACAACTTACAAAATTATATGGAGATACCACACATTATAATGTTATGGAGACACTAACTTGTATCATATCTAACTAATTAATGAATTTTTTTAATCAATACTGTAAGCATTTATTAACTACTAAGATATAATCGAAACTTTATTATAACCATTATTTAACAGGTGTCAATTTCCTACATAAATCAAAGTTATGGCCGCATATTTCTTCAGCCAAAATTTATCTCAAGAGGAATGCGATTAATTGTCAGTGAGACAACAAATGAAAATAATGATGTATCTTTTACACTTGAACTTTATGGATGTAGACTTAACTTGGACAACAACACATTTGGTATTTTAGTTTACTATTTTTATCTTGATGTTATTACTTATCATCATTATTATCTAAAATTACTGCGTAGATAAGGTAATAAAGAATTTTAAAAATAACCAATTTCCAGTTGTACAGTAATCTTGTGCATTGCCACGCTAGTATATCTACGTTTTGCTTTAGTTTACAACCGATATTGTAGGGTCATATTATTATGATATTTAAAATGTAGTTTCAGTTTACTGAAAAACAGTACAAAAATTAGAGTTGAGATGAATTTCAATATAGTATCATACCATTCATTTACTATGTCAAAATCAACAGTATATTTCCTAGTTATTATTACAAAACATTCTAATTCACTTCTGTAGTGGAAACAGTAAACCTTAAAATAATATCAAAGATTACAATTTCCTCATTTCTACTTATGAATAGATTTCATTCACTAAGAAATAGCTAGGAATATTTTTCATCCCGGCGCGAGAATTCTACGAAGTGCGCACCAAAGATCACATTGGAGATCCAAGCATGGAGCTTAAGTTTCATGCTCTAGCACCACTGAGCCAGGATTTTATGGTGTGCATGTCTAACCTCAATCAAATATACCAATGATATTAATCGATAATCGGTGGTAGAATTCCATTTATCTGTGGTGTATGCTACTTATATCTGTCGACGTAAGTAATATGTAACACCAATCAGAAGTGGCAGCAAAATGCTAAGATGATTAAATTGAATAAAACAGAAATGTAAATGTAGAGTACTTGTAATAACAACAGGAATGAAGGAATGATGAAGTTTGTAAGAGACAACTGATGTAAGATGTGAAAATGAAGTTTTAATTGTATGGTTTTCGTATTTTACATAAACATTCTATAATTTTGTATTGACTAAAAATCGTTAACCCCCATCCTGAATACTCGTTTACTACATATCAACTAGTAATTGCTAGGGCTGTCCAATCCGTGCTCCAGTGGTCATGAATGGAGCAGTATTTAAGCCAAAAACCGTAGTGAACGCACATGGTCCTATACTTTGTAATCCATGTCGGGATCTGAATAACGCACAGAGAAATCATCATTATACACAAACATCACGTATCTACATGCAGCAAATGACTTAGATCAGATTCATTCATTTACTGATCATAAAAACTTCCACGATTAATATGGTTTGACAGGATATTATGTATTTGGTAGTTTTTGTGATAATGGCATTATTTAAAAGAGAATGCTATTAATTTCGGTCTACTTTCGAAACAAGCTTACTGCATTGGTGGTCTGTCTCGTTCGTACAACTTAATGCTTTTGTTCGAGATTACGATGCTTAGAATAATCAGCTGTGCGTTACGATTTACTAATGACATTGTAGGGCATATTTGATCTCAATTGAGGGAAATTTTAATAGAAAATCGGTATCTAAGGTGAAATTTACAAACAGGAAGCTGATCCATCCAAGGTTAGGACTTCAAAGTTATAACAGAAAAAATAACATCAGATTGTACTTTCCATTCATATAAAGTATTTGGTAGATGTTGTGCAAAAAACAGATACTGTATTCATTTATATAAGCAAAAGTATTACTTAAAGTATGTAATTTCATTTTAACTCATAATAATCCTAAATCCCTGTTATCAGATCCATGTGGTGTCCAAAATGGTTATGTGAGTTCATCAAACAATGGTGTACGAAGTTATCTTTATGCTGATGGTTATCTTTTCTATTGTGATGAATTCCCCACCACAATAAAATCGTACCTTACTGAAAAACGGTGTTTCGTGACATATAACAATGCTGACATGAAGTGGACAGGTTAGTATACTTGCATATTTCAACAACGAATTACTACGGTACATGAAATACGCAAATTGACTACTCCTTATTGTATATCACTAAATCACTCAAGAAATAAGGTCAAAAACTTGGAAATTTATACTCTGAACATATCCTGTTTTCCATTCGTACTGTTTAGTTATAAAGTATCAATTTTAATTCTAGATAGGATACGAAAAGTTCACTTGAGCCAGAAATTTCAATTAATATGTGGAAAATATGACTAGTTAACTCTTACTCAAAGTATCAGATCAGATGTTTTGCTTTAAATATAATACAATGTGCATTTTATGTCCGATTTTGAACGATACCGAAATTCAATCTAGTGATCAGATAAAACACAAGAATTTATTTAAAAATGATACTTTTTGGATGACCCATAAAAAATACGGTTTCCATGAAAGTGAAAGTTAGAGTATCCCACTTCATTACGAACTCAAGTTATTGCGGTAATTTAGTATTAATCCCAATGTCAAAGTTGTTATATCGAATATGTAATCATCAGATTATGTAATACTTTTTCAAATTCCAGTGTCCTAATAATTAACACTTATGTACAATCTTTAAAATTACACAGTTTCGGATTTATAATAAATTTTGTATATTTGGTGATAAAAAAATTTTAATTATTGAAATATCCACTGTGAACTAGGTTTAATCTACATGAACAGTTGATATAATTTTCAGTCATTAGAAATACAGATTTATCGTATCACTACATAGAAATAGAGATTACCAGTCACTTAATATTTTATTTACTTTATCAAGCTATGTTTAACTTCAGCCTTATTCTTTATTAGAGGAAGTGAGAAGGTATCAAATTAATAAGCGATCAAATAAATGAATGAACTCAAACTCAACTTTAAGTCTAAGATTATCCTTAGAAAATTGATATTCAACTATCGGGTAGAGAAATTAAAAGATTTTCCAGTCAACATTTTTAAACAGTAACTAGTCCTCATCATTTCAGAAATTCAACAAATACATTTATTTTAGCTTTGATACATTGCAACTTGAAAAGTAGGATAAGAAATCTAAGGGAATTTTTTACTGATAACAACCTTGACCCATATATTTTGTTTTGAAAGAGATAAAACTCTAATAATATCAGTTTGGTCATTCCATATGTTCCCCAAACATTGTAATAATCAACATGCTAATAAAATTAGTGTTAGTCTACCTGTAGTCATATTACCAAGTTACAATGATGTAAATTGGTGCACCGGTGATAAAAGTGAGAAGTAGGACAAAAAGTCTATAAGATGGCAAAAACACTGACACTTATATCAAATTCTAACATTTTATATCTCATCACAGTCAAAAAGCAATGTTGTTCTATGCATATTATGTATTCGTGTTTGGATTAAAGTATTGCATTCTAACCAACTATCATGTTATGTATGATAACAAAGTGAGTGCTAGATACTTAATTCAAAGAATAGTTTGGTCAAGTTACAGACAGAATAACTTTTAGTTATATGTTATAGAATGGTATTCTATTCCAAAAACTAACAGAAGTAATCATTATCACCAGGAAAAAACAAAAATTTCACCTTTTGCGGTGACCTTCATTTGTTTATAAAAATAGTAATGTTTGTATCAGTCTAACGGATATTAGATAGGCTACTCATAATATTTCTAAGATATAATACATATTATTATTGTATTAATTAACTGTTGAGTTTTTGAACTTTTAACGTAATTTCACACTCTTCTTCCGTGCCAACAGACTTAGGGCCATTCATTACAAAAGTCTTGAGTTACATAAGTCCTAGTAATATAATATTTGCTCAAGGTCAAAACGATGATAGTATCTTATTGAGTAGTGATTACGGAGAAAGATGGACTTCCACTAACTTGTATACACAAGTAGAATTGACCAGAAATGCAAATTATTACATTAATTCAACTATTATACCATGGACTTATGCTGCTGGAAATTTCGATCAAAGTGTTACTGGTATATCGTGTCAGTTATACCAACAAAGTTCGTATCAGTGTAAGTTTTATTTACCTCTGAAATAAATCATAGTCTACTACTCCAACATACTGGTTTTGATTGATTAATAAATTTATTTAACATTGAAAGCAAGTTTAAAATAATTACTTATGGAATAATCTAACCGATTTCATACCTCATAGTTCAGCAATCAAAGTTTTAAAACCTTTATCAAACCCACTATAAGTGATGTCGATAAAATTATGTATAGAATACAGTGCATAGACACTATGACTCCTTATCTAAGCAAATGTAATTGATATTAATTTCATGTTTTTATACAGATTATTGGATTGAAAAAGAAGTATGTTTTTAGTTTCATCAATTTTTACTTGAACCATTTGCATTTCATAAGCCAGTTGAAAGTTAGAGTTAATCGATTGTAGCAAAAAAACAACTATAGAAAGACTTTTCGCATAATAAAAACACCCTGAAAGTTTATTTGATTACCAGACGATGATAAACAAAAATAAGGTAGTGACAGAAAACGATGCTATTCTTGTGTCTAGAAAGGCGTCACGTTAACTAAATTTCGTTATCTAATTTGTGGATCAATAAATAGTTTTCGTTATTGATTACAGCATATTAACCACTAATAACCCTCTTTGAGTTTAGCATGAAGGATTTGCTACTGCATTTAAAATAAACCTTGAAATTGTAAAATAAATAACATGAGTATTACATAAGCTCTTCGTTGTTTTTGAGCATTTGGAGGTCCACTGTAATCCTAACAAGCATAAACAAAAAATCTTGTGAGTACAATACAAATCTAGCGATTTCGTCAGATATTACTTTTCAAACTTTTTTTGACAGCTAGCATCATAAGCTAAGTAATCTGTCAAACCGTAGGGGTTTCGAACAAGTCTAGCTGATTAGTAAAAAATGACAGGTGAATATTTAACAGAATGCTATATTCTTAGGTCAGCTGCTGATAAGCTTTACCAACGAAGATTAGCATACGAGCTACTTTTATTGGATGAATCCTACTCTCAGGATAGAGTAATAAAAGTGACCCAAACTCCTATCAATCGAAATTTTATCCTAATGTTAGTAGTTTATCGACCAATTAGTTTAACGTTAATTATCCTTTTCAATCTAGTTAAAAGACGCTAAGCGACTACGTTTATACCATTAAGTGCGAATCCGTCTATTTTGTAGTTTAATGTAAACCTCTATTTGTATATTTTCAAAGTAAAACTAGCATGGATCAGATATTATAATGAAAATAAGTTCCACATATTATACCTCGAATTTAATACCAGATGGCAGATAGTGTTGCTTCTGAAACTATGTAAATTACAAAGATATTTTAACAGCCGTTTCCTTTGACAACCAATCAGTCTAGCCTACGCGAGTTAAGAATATAAAGTTTATAAAGACAGTAAAAGGAAATGATAGACTCAACTCTATGTCGAAATCGTAACTAGCGCATTTTATAAATACTAGAACACAGTAAAAAGCAGACCTAAGACTTATCCTTATCCGTTTTCTTAGTAATCAGTTTTGCGAGTACAACTCATCGCTTTGTTAAGTCTGATTATTTTGTTGCCGTAATACCATTTCAATGTTATCCCTTACATTACAGTTTGCTTTCAAGGCATTTACAAAACTAATACAATGGTGTCTGATTGGAACAGGATTTGTCCGGCCCTCCCTTAACGAAAATATCAATCGAAAAGTTGGATGAATATGCAACACTCGATCGCTATGCAGTTAACTCTGAAGTAATCATTTACTTTACTAATGTGAACAACAACAGTAATGATATTTCATCGTAAATGATATTTATATCTTCATTCAAACAAAACACTAGTTACAATCTATAGAACCTTTCTTTCATTAAACTGATATTCTATACTTAAAGTAAATTTTGACGCTCAATCTTCTATCTTGTGATCCTCAGTTCATTTTTAGGCTCAGCGTTATTTATTAAATTTTCTTGAAAAATTATCATTCGATTGAATTACATCAGTAAGTCGAGTTTATCACATATTGTTGTGACTTTAAGTTGTGGTTGATTTTTACCCTGTGCTAACTGTTGTGTTCTTGACTAGAAAAACTAGAGAACAGCGTATTTATCGATCGATTCAATGACACGTAAACACGTACGAACGTAATGGACGACCTAGAGTTACGATTGGTCCCGATTCCCTGTCTATCCCAGGCAGTTGAGTCCAGAACACAAATAACAGCCTCTGAGTTATGAATCACTGTATTTCAGACATACTCTATTTATATACTAACCAAACATACCACATCGTACCATAAAAATAGAAAACAACATTTTGTACCAAGTGGACAGATATCGACCAGTAGGAAATGTCCATTTAAAGTCCAAGGACACCATTGCACTTAACATGATAATTATTGGTCTATCCTTCGCATCCACAACACATATCAATTAAACAAATTAATTGAACTTAGAAAAACCAAATTAGATATAAAGTACAAAAATTTTCCTATTCATTTTTAACTGAAAATCCAATATTAATAATACTTTTAAGGAGATTGTTAACCTATCGTCTGTAATAAGTGATACTGATCATAATAACTCATTGTTTCTAAATGAAAATTCTTTTTACGAATAGTTGCATAAATAATTGCGATAACTAAGAAGGGAATACAGAGAGATGACACTGATTATAAAAAAACAGATCACTTTTTATACTCTAAGAATAATAACAGTGGACTGATTACTAGTGTACCATCTAAACAATTTTTAATTCTTTTAAGTGAGAAAAGGTGCATATATTTAATAACTGTTGAAAATATAAGACTACCATAGATTTTTGATTCAGTTAATTCATAGGTACTACAATTAAATAGCATGAAATCATTTTAACAGATTAATGAGTAAGGATTACTGAGAGATTGTTACGATTCAAAATTTATTTTCTCAAATTTATTGACTATTAACACATAAAAAGCATACGCGATTACTATAAATCATACAGAAAACTAATGTTTCTGTATACGTAGTTCACTACGCATCATCACTTAATACTACTTGAAAGATGTCAAAAACCACGAGATCTACTGAGTCAACTATTTCTATTCAAAATGTTGAAAAAATACATACAATAAATGTCGTTTCAGTTATTAGTTAATAAAGTTGAATATATATATAGACATTCATTCAGTTAATTAATTTAACGTAGTTTATTTCTGTGATAGCAACAATAAAGTTTTTATATATACTTTTCTACAAATAACTATGGCTATTACTTAGCAATAAGAAGAAATAAACTTGTAAATGTTTAACAACAGAAATATATCATTTAAAAATCGAATTAGTTCTGGTTAAATGAATGAAGGATACGATAACCAAAAGTTTAAATCAAGAAAACTAGAGCCAAATTGTAAAATTTAAAAACAGAGAATGGGTTCGAGAAAAGAAAAACACTAGAACTTTAACGCTTTTAAACTCATCTATCTAGTTTATTTCATTTTGCCATTAGTTTATGAGGTTTTATTGTTTTCAACAACTATAAACTATAAACTGTATCGACATTTATGAACTGCGATAAAAACCCAGTTCAAACAACGAAGTCTTTTTATTACCATACATTATTTATCTGTATTCAAGTAACAAAAAATGAAAAGAAATCATCAAGCTGTTTGTTATTTGATTTGTTTTCTGAAGCAACCAAATATCCGAAGGTTTTACACCTATTATTGGTTTAAATAAAACTTTAAAAAAACAACTTACAAATCAGATGTGTGTAAAATAGCAAAACAATGTTAATGGGTTAAAATGACTGAGATAGGATACGGTTAGATGCAATTCAAGTTTTATTTCTTTCAATGTTTGATTAGATCCCACAAATAAACAAATAATACTTATCTGTTGTGTTCCATGTAAAAAAAAAACACATAAGAATGGATATCGGTACATATATGTGCATTGACATTCAATAACAGTATAACTATTTATACTTCAATGTAATTAACTGAGGAAAATGGCATGCGAAAATAAACAAAACAACAACCGTGAGTCAAAACTACAAAAGGAACCTAATAAAAACATTTACGATCTACTAACACAAAAATATGTTTATCTGTTAACTAAAGCTGATCAATCAGTTAGTCAGTCAGTAACAACGTAGAACTACGTATGTACGTACATCAGTTCGAGTTGCCATACCACCTTAACACAGAGATTCAGTTGTCGATCCAAATTCCGTAGTGGTAGAGGTAGCAAGAGTGTAAGCCGTGATCGGGAAGATTAGGGTTTGGAGATGTTATTTAAAGAGTATAATTCAGTGAAATAAATTTGGAAAGAGGAAAAAAGGGGACATGAAGAATTCAGAAGATTAGAATTTGGGAGAACACAAAGAGTGGATGCACCTGCGCCATTGCAAACGATTTTGAGCCATGTCATTCAGAGTCTCTAACCATCGGTTGCTATCATCTCGCGGTCCCCAACCAGGTAGTCTACACCTACCGACATGACTCAGACCACTTGTCAGAGACTTCATGGACTTGTGCCATGTTTTGATTTGGCCGCCTCTAGCTTTCTTCCAACCTACTCCTATACCATTGAACATCGCTCGTCGAGTCAGTCAGTGGTTGGGCATACGTAACACATGTCCCAGCCATCTCAACTGATGAAGTTTCACCACTTCATCAATCGATTTGCCATCCTTACCTAGTACCCGTCTCCTAACAACTGCGTTACTTACTCGATGGTCCCAGGATATAAGTGCAATGTTTCGAAGATACCTATGATCAAATACTAGTAACCTACCAATATCCTCTACTCCTACCAGCCATGTTTCACTGCCATAAAGTAGGACGGAATGAACTGCTCAGCAGTAAACACGTCCTTTGGTTGATAGACGGATATCCCGCCTACGACATAAATGACGCAAGTTGGCAAAAGCTAGTCGACCCGTCTGTATCCGTGCTGCGATTTCGTCGCACACCAGACCACAAGAGCTGATGAAAACCCCAAGGTAAGTGAAGCGGTCGACACGCTCAACTACTTTACTCCCTATCATTAGTTCGGGTGTCGATGCAACTCAATCCTCAGGCAACACTCCGCATTTCGAGGGGGAGAATCACATCATGAACATGCTTGCATTGTTGCTTAGTGGTCAGAAGACTGCATTTTGTCAGCGCCTTCACCAAATAAAACTATGTCATCGGCATATTCTAAGTCAAAAAGTGAATCACAAGGTGGGAGTTCAACCCCTAGAAATTTAGATGAGGAAAGTGTCAACTCTAAAAGCACGTTTACGATAAAGTTAAACAAGAATGGAGAGAGTGTACAGCCCTGACGAACACCACTTGTGGTAATCAATTCTGATGACAGTTCGCCATAAGCTCTCACTCGACCTATTGTGTTCGAGTAGAGAGCCCTTACAAGGTTAATGTACATCTTTGGTACTCATTTCAGTGACAAACACTGCCATAGAACCTCACGATCAACAGAGTGGAACAGAGTCAAATGCCGCCTTAAGGTCGAAAAATACTACGATTGTGGGGCGTCTGAATATATGTCTATGTTCTAGGACCCGACGTAGTGTGAATATCTGGTCTATACAACCACGTCCAGGTCGAAAACCAGTCTGGTTTTCTTTAGTCTACTCTTCAAGAACTTTCGTTAGGCGTCGAAGTATTATTGAAGCTAATATTTTATACACTATATTAGTCCAACTGATTCCACTGTGATTGTCACAAGGGGACTCTTGTCCTTTCTTATAGACTGGTACAATCGGTGATTGAAACCAGTCTGATGGAATTACGTCCAGTTCCCAAATTCAAACTAAAACTTCAGTAATCTCACTACTAATACTGGACCACCATCCTTAAAAATCTCAGGAGTGAACCTGTCAGGGCCTGCTGATCTACCTCGCTTCAGATTTCCTATAGCTTTTTCAACTTTGTAAAGAGTTGGAGGACTTACATCAACTTGCCATTCATGTCGACTAGAGATCGTGGGAAACCGAAGTGTGGCTGAAGGCCAGTTGAACTGATCTCCAGAGTGTTCTGCCCATCGATCCAATCTCACAGACTAAGAGTGAATAGTATGTCCTTTTTTCGAGAGTTTCACTAACAGTTGAGTTCCTAATACCAGTTTTCTTAACAACTCAGAAGACTTATCTGCTATTACCCATTGCCGCTGCCTTTTCCATCTCTCTTACTTTCGCTACCCACCACTGTTCACGATCATTGCGTAAGCTTCTTGTCAGCTTGCACTTAGGCTGACTCTGCTCTTCGTTATGTTCAAAGCCAGATGGAATGAGTTTTCGAACATCTATCAGTGCGGTGGATGCTGCTGAGATCCAGTGTTTCTCCCTAACCTTGTGGTTTACCATACTAGCAGATACCACTGCTGTTTCCACAGCTTTTCGAATATCATTCCATGCTGCATCGAGGTGGGCATCACTTACATGACTGCCTAACAGTTTTCCTAGTTGATGCTGAAATATACTCTCAGCTTGACTATCATTAGGTAGGACCCTAAGAGGTTTCCTTGCAGCGTCTTTCCTACGTCCAGTAAGACGCAATAAAATACGCGCTCGCACTACAGCATGATCTGAATTTAGGCATGTGCTCCAGAATGGGTGAGTCTTCTATCAAGCCACTCCATCGGTGGCTGATAGCGCTGTGACCTATTTCGGTCCAACGTTGGGACGAATTAGAGGGTCGCCATGTCAAAAGATGCTTTTCCTTATGCTTGAAGTTAGTGTTTGCAAGAAACAGACGCTTATCTGAGCATAGGTGTAACAGACGGTCGCCATTATCTGTTCTTTGAGTCACGACACCATAATATCCACGCAGGTGTCTTTCCCTTTTGCTTAAGCTACCTACTTGAGCATTAAAGTCACCAGCCACTATTACTAAATGAGAGAACTTAGCTTTTGGGAGAAGGTCGGAAAGCTTTCTGTAAAACTCATCTCCTACATCATCTGAGCTGCAGTCAGTGGGAGAATACGCAGAGACGACGAATAGGCAACGACGAGTGTCCCTATCTTTCCGAGTCCTTACTGTCCCGTTTAGTCGGACAGCGCACAAACGACTGTCTACTGGGATCCACTCGAAGAGAGCTAGTTCTACCCTAGGACTCAATGCTATACCTACATCAGCGAGGCCACGAGAATCAGCATCAGAGCTTCCAGATACACGAAGCGTGAATCAAGTTGGTTCTTTATTTTGACATGGTGAGATCAAATGAATGACGCTACTCGGATCCTGTATGCGCGTTTTGGAGACACAGCACACATCGATGGCACGAGATTCTAAAGTCCCAACTGAGGAAGCCTGTTGTCCTATTTGGCACAGTGTTCAGACGTTAAAAGCTCCTACGTGTAGTTTAGAGCGTGGTTTCAGTAGATCAGGAATAACGTTCCGTGTACTCGAATCGTTTGCACTAGCGGTGAGAGGTGATAAAGGGACGTGAGAAGGGTTAGTCGTAGAGATAAGAGAGGTTATAGGAGGTGTAGGAAGGAGTTGAATGTGACCAACTTGGTCTCGTGTGTTGTTACGAGTATATGGGCTGATATCACTTCCCGGATGCCCACACCGTGGAAGGGTATTTCTTGAGGAACCTGAAAAGAAAGTCGGATTAGTGTTGGTCTTAACGACCTGGGAGCGTGGCTGCAGAGTCCAAGAGATAACTGTTTGAGGCCGGTCGCGCACGGCCTCGTTGTGGGAGGTCTTAAACATGTCAGCTCCGTTCTTCAAAGGGCCTTGCCGCCGGAGACGGAAATCCGTGGGGTAAGGTGAGGCGTGACATTTTTAGGATCGACCTTTTCTAACCCCTTCCTTTCTTGTGAGCAGGCAGCATCGCTGTCATGCTGGTTATCTGAGGGAAACACCTTACTGCTGTCACACCTCTCTACAGTCACCAGTAGGACTTCGCCCTCAGACCTTCAGTTGCTGCTTTTAGTCTTACCGTTCTCCAATCGACCTGCCTGGCATGGTAGAACCTACAGGAACATATGTTCCAGCCAATATAGCTCGGTTGGGTCAATACGATAGGCAAGCCCGACCACCGCGTTAGGGTAGCAGCTATGGTCGGGAAGCTGATCAATATACCGAAACAAATTCAAAGGAAAGACAATGACCGATACATTTAGCTTTAAGACAAAATAATTCCACTAAACAGATCAAAAGCTTTCTTTAGAAATAAAGAAAATACTATCAGTATCAAAAACATTTGAATTATTGAAGAAAAAAAATAATACCTGAAAAATTAGTCAAATGTTCAAACAAGCTTGTAATCTCGTTGTTTACTGAAAAAGAGAACTTCATGAAAGTATGATTAACAAGAAATGGTGCAAAGAAATCGTCCAGGCAGACGTCCGAGTAAAAATTAGAACAAGTTATGAATACAAATCGGATGAATAAAATACACAAGGAAGTGTAGTCTTTCACATACAATTCAATGATAACTACGAAATAAAAATTACAATAAATAAAGCGTTAAAAAAAATCAAAAATATTCATATTTCTGTATAAATAATAAAAATGAGTTCACGTAAAGAAAAAACGAAGCACAGAATATACTCACAGATAAAACGACATGAAAGGATAAGACTACGAAAAATTTGATTGTTTTGGCTTCTTTTCAAAATATTTAAAATCCTAATAAAAGAAAAATTTAAAATGTAGCAATCAGTTAAATCTATATTCAAAGAGATTTTTATGAGCATATAATAAAACCTGTGCATAAATACCGTCTCGCAGTGAACACAATATAATATCAAAGTCAAAATAGGACGTCTACTATTGATATAACAAGTTAGCTCAGATGGTAACGAGGTAATGTAAATATATATATGGAGAGAAAGTCCAAACGATAAACAAATAAATTATAAGTAGCAAAATAACCAATACAAAACTTAATGTAACTCAGCACTTAAATAACTGTCGTGTATTTGCTTTTAAGTAAACTAGACATGAAGCCAAGTCGAGCAAACTGAAGCAAACAGAGTTAGGTTTGAATCTAAAAAACAATGATAAATATGCTACTGATTATGATGTAAGTATAAGTCAGATACGGACCAGTAAATCCGAGGCCAATTAACTAATTTGATATGTTGCAAAATTATAGTCATAATAAGACAAAACTTTCTCAACGTCCCTCTATTATTCTATTAATATTAACCTTAAATTTAAACCTAAAAAATAGTTTATCACATTCGCAATAAATCACAATCATGTTTAGCAATAGTGTAACTTACAATGAGAAAAACAGCAGCTAAGAGAATCGCTTTTATTTTCACGTCTAAGTCCATCGGAAAAGAAACTCCAAAATTATCTGCATCAGTAAGGAATTCTTGGACAATATTGCTCCATTTTCTCGTAATTCTACCTATTTCGACAGTACCGTCAGCAGAAGTTACCTTGGAAAGATTATTTAAGAGAAATTAAAAATTAATTAACCGGATCAATTCTAAGATCCACAGGTAACAACAAACACAAACAATCATTAAGCTAAATGAGTTAGTTGAACTTCACGGCGGATCTCTTTGTATGTCAGTCAGTCATCATCAACATAAAGCCTGGTAAAGGTGTGCGTTGACACAAGTTACCATATCACCTTAGTATAGCAAGATGAAATTGACAAGATGTATAGAAAAAGAGAAATAATAAAGTTGCAATGAGGATGAACATGATGAAGTATTGAGAATAGAGTTTAGAAGGGTAGAATGGAGAGGCATTTCTGGAGAAATACTGAGAAGAGAAAATGCGTCTATTCTATTGCGAACAATTCTGAGCCGTATCACTCCAACCACAGATCACGGCTATCACGAAGACCTCAATCAAGTAGTCAACATCTATAACCACTGAAGTACACAAGAAATGAACGGAATAAGTTTGAAGTGTAGTGACAATAAAATAAAAGTTCGTGAAGAATCCACAACAATGATAATAATGAAACAAATTAGTATTTTAACTGTTCATCAGTGATTCTTTTTGATGCATGGAGATGAGGCAGGAAAACAAAACCTATGGTAATTTCACAGACAGGAAAATAGAAAACTTTTGCAAATATCTGGCGGCTAACAAAACACATTGAAACAGATTATATCTTCCGTAAAGACTGATTTCAATGTACAACAAATAAAACCGAGTTACAGATTTTATCACTTCACAACAGATCTTTGTACACTAAGCAAATTTTTTAACTAAGCTTCATTTCTTTCCTAAAACGTAAAAGAACTAACATTTTGATAAGCTGAGACTAGAATCACACAAACAAAAAAAGCCAATAAATATGACAGGTACACTATGAACGATGTACGTAATCCGAAAGAAAGAGGATACAAAAGAAAACCAGACGAAGTAGATTATCATGGATTGAAATCATGAATCAATTGAAGCTAGAACACCATGGAAAACCTGGAAGCACTGGACGCCCGTTTCATAATAGACAGATAGGTCATGGGGGTGCGGGATCGTACATGCGCACTGCTGAGGATTCCCATACTAGGACGAAACGGCTGTCCAGTGCTTCCACGTTTTCCATGCTGGTCTAGCTTCAATTGACTCATGATTTCGATCAGTGAAATTTATAAAATCTCTACAAAACTCCTTCTGATAAAGTGGATTATCATTAATTTCAAGTAGCACAATGAACAAGATTATACAAAGTGACAAATAAAGTTTATTTTGACAATATTTATTGTCAACAGAAAAAATAATTAAAATGTCAATAAGAAAGTATACCTTAAATATTATATCCGATCCTAAACATTCACAAAAACAACATGATGGACCATGTATTTGCAGAACTGTATTCTGGTTACTATCCAAAATGTGGTAATCAAGATTACAACCACTAAATACTCGTTTCACGTAGCCGATACAATTTCCAGCTGGAGACTGAACTTCAAGTTCCTCTTGACAGCATTCTAAACACCTAGACCAAATCAATTAACACATCAATTAACTTTTACAAAACGAGACAATCTGATCTCAGAAATTACATTAGGAAATCATGTTACGGTATCAAACGTAATCAATCCCTGATAAAAGTAGTTTCACTAATAATGGATTTGTTCGCAGTCAACAATGTTCTAAACCATATTTTTACATCAAAAACTAAACTGTGTACTTACAGTTAGTTAAGCAGTGGTTGGTGACACTACAGTACTCGACAGAATCGAAAGAAACCAAATCAATAGAAGAATTCGAAAAGGAGAACGACTGTTTTCCCTGTCCTATTGGTTACAGGATGGAGATAACTAACCCATAGAAGAATATACCAAATATAAACTGAAACCAGCGAAGGATTACCAGCACCACCACATTCTCAATAATATACATCATTTCCTTAGCCATCTTTTCACCAATCTACTGTTATTTCTCAACAGCCTTCAAACTGGGCAAGGTGACAATCGCTTACCTTGATGCACAGTTCTAACTTGAACTAAAGCACGAATGGAAAAAGCCTTGATGATGTAGTCATAATACGCCATAACATGAACTAATGACCACCCTAAACCTCATTCAAAAATGTCGGTTTCATAAGTTGAATCCATGACCAGGGTGAAAATCGAACACAGCGTTCAAGATAGTATGTGTTAATCTTCAAGTCTTATATCATTAGCTTACTTATGATAATATAGCATTCATTAATCTTGAATTCTGTACAAAGTGAACACGAATTGAATACCTCATTATCTTTGAGTTTGCATGAATCTGTCGTATTTTATGTTTTTTGTTGACAGTTAAACATCATTTTTCTCACATAATATTCTAGAATTGATCAAATCACTGTCCGAAAAGTACACTTATGATTGATGAGAATGATTAATAAATTTTACGTTATTGGTGCAGTATACTTCAAAGATAATGGCCAATATTCATAAAATTCCTTTTACTCAACTAACCTCGTGTAGGAAATCAAAAATCAAGGGTTAATTACTTCATTACTTATGTATATAGAAGCTCGGGAGTGTAAAATACTTAACTTTTATAACTGTCCATAAATTAATGTAAGGACTTTCAAATGACTTTGGAATAAGCTTATTGGTATAGCGAATTCAGGAATGAACAAATGCAATTTAATGTGAAATGACTTCAAAACAGCTGGGACAAAAAGTAATTATGTCAAACAACTACCTTTTTTCAATAGATATACGTTTGATAGAAATTAGTCATAAGATCAACTTGAAAAGTTTTAAATCTTTTTCTACAGATGATATTATGAGTGTAAATGTAAGTCTGTTGATATTTTCGTAATTTTTTATTTTCAGATCCTCTTTGAAGTATTTAAAAATAATTTGTTCTTACGTTAAAATTTCCTCGGTAATTAATAATGAATCTCAATCTCAAGAATGATGTTATGACGTACGTACTTCTTTAGCATTATTATAAGATTTTTGTAATTCTCATAACACATCATTGATTTACATAACTTATTTAGTCATAAATTAAAGTATCCTAACCATGTAAATTTGTTTAGCTTGTGAAGAAGAAATTACGCAAATAAATAATCAATTTTTTTAAAGTAAAACTTCAGTATTTTCATTACAATAAGTAAAATCGTGGAAGAAAACACTTGTATTCCAAGTAAAACAGTAAAGGTGATATCATAAAAGAAAAAAACTTATTATACTTACGAACAACAAGGGTAACAATCACATCGAAAAGGTCGAATTGCACGGATAACTTCAGAGTTGTTATTGTTTAAGATATGTAATACGAAAGGTCTTGATGCTCCACAGAACGCACGTGAACAAAAGTCAGATTCTACGGAAAATAGAAAGATTACAAAACCCAAACTAATTAGTACCGTTTAGATTTATGAACGAATGAATATACCTGTTTTGCATCACTCATTAATCAAGATAATAAAAATATTGTTCAGATAATTTTAAAACAATGGAAGCTAAACACATTACTTAGTGGGAATACACTATTCAGTAATACGTTGTACGGTTCTCAGAACTAACCGAATCGACAACTGAATACTCTGCAACCTAGGTTTTGTATTTTAACTTATGAAAGAACTTAGAAAAATTACACTTGATACTCGACATTGATCATTTACCGTTCAGTAAATAACACATGGTCTAGCGCATAGTCACTGGTTGCAAAGTATGCTAGCTAAGGGTCAAAACGCTTAGAGGCAACGTCTTCAACGTCAGCACAACAAGGCTAATGTTCGAAAATCCGCAGATATAACTGGCTGGTGACTGCTAATTAACACCCCCGCTGGTTTCTCTACTTTCTAAAACTTAGCTCTAACTAGAATGTCGATATCATTAGTAAACTGTATTAACAAAATAACACAGTCTAAATAAAACAATCAACAGTAATAATCAAATACGCTAGAGAAGACTAGTCATAAAATATTTAAAAAGTGCAGCACTGTGTTGTTATTTTTAAGGTTTCTTATAACACTCACACATCTAGCATAGTAAAGAGAGTTTTGATAATAAACCGTTAGTTTAGATAACAAACAACTTGACAATCAGTTGTACATAAACGTACAATCGTATCCCGTTTACACAAGATAAATTTACATTGAATACTCTCTATTACTGTTAAACTAGCAAATGAAACAAAGAATGTGAATAACCATTTTAATTCCGATATTTTGAATGAGACTTCGAAATTACGAACAATTCTAGGTGTTACACGTAAAGAATATAGAATCAGAAATTTGATATCAAATGCAGTCAAAAGTTTCCAAAATCAACAAGCCATAACAAAACAAAACGTGTTCGTTCAAACGTTTTAACAAATATTTATATTATACATAGGCGACCAAAATGTTTAACTGTTAAATATCCAAAACAATAGATTCAAACCAAAGCAAATATTTTGAGTTATCCAATCTATTCCCACCATATGTTAAATTGAATCGCCATTACAGGAAAAGTAAATTCAGGAAACCTTCTAAAGGGTTGACACAATGACTAACAAACCAGATATGCGCTATCCCATAATATGAAATACCTCAACTACATACTTAATATCAGAGAAAAAACAAACACTATGCAAGTTAAGAAAAATTACAATCATGCTCACAATTTTACTATTTAGCGGACTCCGTTTGAATGATTACGGAATAAATGAATTGAACAAAAGCCACAGCCTCTACTCGTCTAAGTTTGAAAAATAATTTTATCATAAGTAAGCTAATGATATAAGACTTGAAGATTAACACATACTATCTTGAACGCTGTGTTCGATTTTCACCCTGGTCATGGATTCAACTTATGAAACCGACATTTTTGAATGAGGTTTAGGGTGGTCATTAGTTCATGTTATGGCGTATTATGACTACATCATCAAGGCTTTTTCCATTCGTGCTTTAGTTCAAGTTAGAACTGTGCATCAAGGTAAGCGATTGTCACCTTGCCCAGTTTGAAGGCTGTTGAGAAATAACAGTAGATTGGTGAAAAGATGGCTAAGGAAATGATGTATATTATTGAGAATGTGGTGGTGCTGGTAATCCTTCGCTGGTTTCAGTTTATATTTGGTGTATTCTTCTATGGGTTAGTTATCTCCATCCTGTAACCAATAGGACAGGGAAAACAGTCGTTCTCCTTTTCGAATTCTTCTATTGATTTGGTTTCTTTCGATTCTGTCGAGTACTGTAGTGTCACCAACCACTGCTTAACTAACTGTAAGTACACAGTTTAGTTTTTGATGTAAAAATATGGTTTAGAACATTGTTGACTGCGAACAAATCCATTATTAGTGAAACTACTTTTATCAGGGATTGATTACGTTTGATACCGTAACATGATTTCCTAATGTAATTTCTGAGATCAGATTGTCTCGTTTTGTAAAAGTTAATTGATGTGTTAATTGATTTGGTCTAGGTGTTTAGAATGCTGTCAAGAGGAACTTGAAGTTCAGTCTCCAGCTGGAAATTGTATCGGCTACGTGAAACGAGTATTTAGTGGTTGTAATCTTGATTACCACATTTTGGATAGTAACCAGAATACAGTTCTGCAAATACATGGTCCATCATGTTGTTTTTGTGAATGTTTAGGATCGGATATAATATTTAAGGTATACTTTCTTATTGACATTTTAATTATTTTTTCTGTTGACAATAAATATTGTCAAAATAAACTTTATTTGTCACTTTGTATAATCTTGTTCTTTATGCTCATTGAAAATGATTACTAGATTAGTATTAGGTTTTGATGTTTTGTGAGATTACCGCGGGGGTTATTATTTTGTTGTTAATGATCCTATCGGCTTGTTATTGTCTTGCTAACTTATAACATATTCTCATTTTGAAGCAAGCAACAAGAGTGCACCGTTTCTTAGCAATATATTTGAAAAAAATTCCAGTGTTAAATTTCACAGTAAATCTTAAAAAACGTATATAACTTACCTTCGTAACATCGATAAACAATTTGTCCCAATGTGTTGTAGCAGGTATAGCGGTTTTGCACTTCATAAGGCACGAGTGCTGTATGCAGTTGTATGGGAAAAAATATGCCATGGTAAGCGAATTCAAACAACTTTCTTGCGTAAAATGCAAAATACTATCAATAGAAGCTAATTAAATCTAATAATCTTTAAGAATGGATGCCGCACTGAACACGTTATTGGTAAGCTTTATCATAGGACTTATCAGTACCTTTATTTAATATCATGCACGCAAATATAATTCAAAATTATTTTTTGTTTACATTGTCAAACCTATCACGTTGTCTACTCTCTTAACGAGCAACTTTTAATTTAGAACTTCATTAAGATATCGCAGTAATGTTGTTAAAAAACTCATACTGCAAAATTAGCTATGACATATCTAAGCAATACATGTGTTAAAAACATCAACTTTAAATTGATTCAAAATTAAACCAACTTGATAACCTAATACAAGCTGAAAATAGATAAACTATCTTCCAAAGTTTGTTTGTCTGATTATTTTCTATGAATAAATCACTGAATTATTTTACCAGCTTAGCTTAGCTGGTCACTACTTTTTCTGAGGTAACGTTAACAAATACAAACAATTACCTGCTAATATCTGTTACCTACTCCTTACGTCTTTTACCAGAAAGTTCTCGTGAAGAGTTGATAAGAACTACCTAGAACTAATTTTCGCAGATTCATGAAATTCATTGGAATAGCAGCGATAAGTGAAGACTTTAAAGTCGCTTACTTGAGATACCAGGCATCAAACAGATTTTGCTCCAATGTTAAACCAAAGATGAATAAGAACATACTTGACTATTTCATTAACAAGTCTAGCTAATAAAAAATCTAGTAAAATATTTGTCAAGTACATTGACATGCACATAGATTCAGTTAAAACATTTAGGAAGGTAACTGATCCTTTAGAGAATCACTGCAACGGTTATAGATAACGACGGAACTATGTTACTGACAAGGTGAATGGCAGTAATTACCTTGTCAATAATCTTTATTTACGACTGAAGATTATCAACCGGGACCATAATAAAGCTTCTATTTGAGCTCAAAACATGTATATCCAATTCATCAACCACAAGAACACCTACTTATTTACTCTTCCAACATATGAAGAGATTTCGGTAGGTTCCTCCTTTCAACCCATCGGACTGTGAGTAAACGATTTCTAACTTGAAAGTAAACTAAATGAGCCTAACTTTATGAGGAAGTTTCGAAAGGCAATTTGTGCAAACGTTGACTACCGAAATTACTGAAGTTCTCAAAAATGATTCAAATAATTATTCGGAAAAGAATCATTATGACTGAAAAGATCATTTGATTAACACAACAAATAATGTGAATATTAGAAACATTACCACCCATCTCGAATCTAACTTGAAGATGGTTTAGGCTAATTTGTAAGTACTAAATGCAAACACTAACTAAGCAAACATAAGTCCATAACAATGTAGAAAGGTTGGTGGAAGGTAGATATGCAGAAACCAGTAAAAGGATGCAACGTGTAAATTAATAGCAGGTGGCTTGATTGCTAATTAGAATATGTAGAAAATTGATAAAACATCTACGATAACATTGCCCAGAATCACAGTGAAAGCTCCGCAATTAAACCCTTTAGCTCAAAGGACTCAAGAGAGAAATAATTCGAAACCCTGTATCCTGTAAAGAGATGTTTTCGTAGAGTCAGAGCGATTGGTACTGAAAGTTTGCTCAACCAGGATGAATAGAAATAACGCTCTCACTCTCAACAACAGGTTTCAAGCCTTCCAAGATTTACTCACAGAAGAGGAAGCTACTGTGGAGAACAACTGAAAAGGGATTAAAATAGCACTAACTTCAGCATGACAGGAGGTGCTGAGCTGCAAGGAGCGCCATCACAAGGAATGGATCTGTCAAAACTCTGAGTAGGATAAAGGAAGAACAAGAAGTCGACAAGTAGCAGTAGAACAAGAGTAGATGAAACCAAGCTACAGGTCAAATACACAGAAGCAAACAAAAGAGTGAAGGGGAGCATTAGGACCAGCAAGCGGAAATACGTGGAAGGTCTTGCACTGACAGAGGAAAAAGTTGAAAGAAGAAGAAATATGAGACAAAAAATCTTTTAGACATGTTGATGGCTTTAATAACGAAGTTGGACAATCAAGCACTGACAAAGCTTTATAAAACTTGAGATAGGAGTAAGAGGAATCCCAAATAACAGACTTTTAAATGAAGTGTCAAAAAAGTTTATGGAACTTCCTTTAAACGCTTTCAATCGAACGTCCGGAGTTTTATTGTCAAAAAGGTAAAGTAATGGCAGTCAGTGGTGCATAAGACGTCCAAGGTTACAGTTGAAGATGAGATACAAATCCATACTTTCATATTTTATTCAATTTAGAAACTAATGAACAAATTTGTATGAGGAAAAACCAACATTATTACCAAGTGAAACTGATAACCCGTCAAATTTTGCTTAAGGATTACATATCTATTTGTTGCCTCTTCGTACCAATGTTTGTGTTTAAATAAGATAAAATAAATAAGGATTACAAGTTCTTTAAAACTTGTAAAAACTGTACTACAAAATTACTTAAGAGTGTTCACAGATTATCTTTACTTGATAAACAAGACTGTCTCAAACTAGTGATCAAATACCAGATGCATACGTTCCTTACTGTAGATTAAAATAAACTCGTCCAATAATCCTAACTGACAGATCCACATAGCAAAATTACTACCGAAAAATTGACAATACTGTGATTATTAACCTGCACAAGCAAGATAATTAAAAGTAACTATTAAGCTATTTTATGAGCAGTTTTAGATATATGCTTAAGTTTTTTATCAACAGTCCATATAAAGCACCAAGATTAACAGTACGATTTGTAAGCAGAATCATATTTTGAGGTGATGTTATATGTAAAAACATATTAACTCTTTAAATAAACTCACTACTGTAATTGTTAAGCTATATGCTAATGCAGATGTCTAATCGGGCATAAACTACTAGCAGATACTTTACGATTCCTGAAGTTTTTTGTCATTGATCAGTTAATAAACAACAGAATATTTTCTTACATTTCATAATGACGGCAGTTATCTATTTACTGACACTCGTAAAATTCATATAAATTAGGGTTATAAAACTTAATCCCCACCTGAGCACTGATTTTCACAACCACAGAAACAATTGTTGCTGAGGTACAGAAAACTAAAAATAAGTGATACTAAAACACTCTAACTCATGAATATACTTAGGAGAATTGGTAAATAATGTGGTTGGGACTAGTTCTCACATAAATGCTAATACCTATACACATTTAAGTCTAATGTTATTTTTCCACGAAATAATTCCATGAATAATTATCTTTAGAATTAAAAAGAATACACTAAAAAGTGTATGTCTACGATTATGAAATAGACAGAAAAGTATTGTCTACTCACTTTCGATAGCATCAATCACCTGCTTAATCAGCAATTGGTCAATTTGGGTCAAGTACTCAAGGCCCGGAGGACAATTGATCACAGCCGGTCTTTGCATCCACATAACTAAAATAAAAAAACTTTCAGTTATTTGTATTTATTGAATTATATGATATTATCACAAGTTCTTTGTAATTTTTTAAATGAAATAATAAGTCTAATGCTATTATATATTCACGAAACTACAACGGATTCACTTAACAATATAGTGAATGACTGATAACCAATAATAGACTGTGAATAGTGCTATCTATTTAAGTTACTGACAATGTGCTGAAGATAAACACAACTATAAAAAATTCTATGAGTTATCTAAACCTTGCAGACACAAGCGTTTCTGAGTAGAGTAATAAAAAAGGTGTCGTATTCAAGGACCAAACTGTAAATGGAGTTAAAATAACAATTGTCTTGTGATATATATATATATATATATATATATATATATATATATATATATATTGGTGTACTTGAGTCAAATCTGACAGAAAAATGAAAGACTTTATATCTATATTATTCTTCTGTGAGGTGAGGTAGGAAATCAGTGACATAACATTTGAATGTGTGGAATTACGATTAAATCAGCACTATAGACCATTAAATGGTTTGTCAACAAAACCCAACCATTTTAACCGTCCCTTACACAATAGTTAGTAAACTTCCTTGTCCTGGAAAGTTACCAGCTTTTGCAGACTAATACATTGATAATAAAGCTATTAGATGACAGCTTTGGGTCTTCAAAACCCCTGAACTTACCATGGTATAAAGTGACCCATGTAGGGATTATGAATACTGATGTAACCAGGAACTTGATGGAACTTAATAAACTAATACAAGTTCCTTTGCCAAACATTGGTATTTATTCTATATAGTAAAACCCAGTACTACTGAGCTTCCCAAAACTAAAGTAGGTAGATCAGATTAAAAACTTGTAGATAATTGGAAATCAAGTCCATAGACCAATAAGTCACCCGAAGCCTAAGATCTAATACTTAAAGAGTACCTGTAATCTTCCACTAAAACCAAAACTAGGGCCATCCGTCAGTTTTGAGTCGTAGACTACTGACAACTGGATAGAGAATATAAAAAAGCCTATGACCTTCACTGGTAGCCCATCCATAATGATGTGGGGCCCAGTATTTAATATCTCGGAGGCGAGCTAGTACATACTGATAGACTTATTCGCGCTCGCCTTTCTGTGTTGAGGTTAAGTTCCAGAATTTCATTATCGCCTAATATTGGCAGTCTAGATACTCAAATGGACCAGCTCTTTCCAGTTAAGCAATAATAAATAGATGATTGCGTTCACTCTAGAACATTAGGGTTGTTATTGTGATATAGGGTAAATGGTTTGTCGACTTTAATACTAAAGATTTTACGGTTTTAATCAAGAAAAATAGTTGAAAGATATGAGTCTCTGGTAAACAAACAAGTTTATTAGTCAATCAAGAAAGTAATATGAGTGGATAGATAATTAAGTAAACAGCAGGCAAAGTTATAACAAGGGATGAGGCACGGAAAGTAGCATAATAATAATCATTTTATATTAAGCGATAGTGAGTGGATCTCAGGATACATTTCACATATAAATAACAAGAGTCAAAACATCATTCTGTTATTTCAACCCCCATTTAAGACTAAACACGGTAGGGTGTGACTACACACAATATTTTTGAACCTTTTTTTGAAGCTACATATCGAGAGGGCCACATAGACATGTTGCAAGATCAGGTCTAAGAGCTTCTGGAAAAAGACCTGTAACCGTACCGAAATAACAATAAACGAGCACAAAAGAATCAATCGGTTTATACAAGCTCGTAACGAGGCTGTTGAAACCCGGTGAATAATTGCTCATTAAAAGTAGTGATATTAACGAGTGTTTTACCGTAAGAATATGTAAAGTCCGTATGGAAGTCAGTACTTCGACCGATGATTCGTAAAGTTGCGGAATGTCTTTACAAACGGCCTAGACTTCACAAAAATTATCTTCAGTATCCAATATTTTCAGCAACTGGAAAGGATTACCCATGATAGAGTTAAATGAGGAAGGCTGGTGAGCGACGTATGCTCTTCCACTAGGATTAACAAGCGTATGTAAGTGATTATGTATTTAATAGTTCCGTGCTCAGATAGTGACCGAGCTAATAGACAGTAGTTATTGCATTCACAAATACAAAGTTCAACGGCGGCACTGACTATTAGTAGCATAGGCCTTTAGATCACCATGACAATTAGCATGTGCAGGCTATCTCGCTCATTACACCTCGTGACCATCAAGCTTCCTCATCTGATGGCTGTGAACTTCAGGAACTGAGAGGACATGACTGAGGCGCTTCAGGCATAGTAAGTCTCAAAAAATCACCTCTTCAGTCACATCAGATGTGTAAGCCGGTTCAGATCGGTAAGGCGATAGTGAAGGGGCCCAACAAACACACTACTGAGTCTGTTGACCATGATTAACAACCTACGGTACAAAACACAGACCACGGTCTTGCTAGTGAGGTACTCCATACAGGTCGCAAAAACCCACAGGAGCCGGTCGGCTAGGAATTGACCAACACGATTTAAACAACGATCTGCTTAAAAACCAGAAAACCGATGGTCCTTTGGAGGAGCACCAGTTAGTGAGGCAAACCATCAAGTGCTTCTACAGCGGCGTAGGAGAACCAGGGAGTAAACTAGGGGAAGTCGGAAACATGCGCATAGATCCGGAGATCGTAACATTCATAACTGAGTGATAAACCAGAGACAAATTATTACTGAAATATATAAGCTTTAAAGCAGTTTTAAGTTAGTGCGCTTTAATATACACAAATCCTCAAGTAAACTCATAGAGACATTATTTCCCAGCCACACGATCCTTGAAGTTGAATATATGATGACTGGTAAAACTTACGTTGGTCGTTGAACACCTAGGTAAGACCCAAAATGGCTGACATGGAAGCATTCAGTAGAGATGGCATGATCGGTAATGCAAGAGTGATCAGCTTTTGAAACCTCCTAACTTTTAAATTAAATACATCACTGTGTCACAACCGTGAATTTATTCTGTAATGGTATTTTGGAAAAAACATCACGGGCTATCACAATAGAACGAGCCAGTACAGACGACTTTGAAACTTCGACGTAAGATCTTATAGATTAGGTCGTTATATCACGGAAAGTTTATGCTACTAGATTTCGTTTATTATTATAGTAGCATACATAAGTTCACTAGTACTGGCCTAGGCCGAAGTAATACAAACTTATCTAACAGTGTAATGTCAGACTAATATATAACACAAGATATAAACCTTAATTATATAATCTTACTACAGATATAAAGACTGCAGGAACACATCGAAATCGACAGGATCATTGTTTTATATAAACAATCTATAATAGCAGGGAGAATTACTTCAACACACTGATGCCTGCTCTTTTCATGTATTCACACGTTAACCCTAAGGGCTTCCTGGATGCGTGCATGTTTTTTTCCATAAATCAATTAGATGCCCATCTATTCGTAAGGCGTATCGGCACCTTATGACCAAATCGAAGATCACAAATATTTGACCCCTTAACATCCACTGCTATTTGCATCCTACATTTCACCGTCTCAACACCACACACATCATTCGTTTTTCTTGTGCTATGCACGACGTAATTCTTTATCATAACCATCAAACAAACATGTTTCTTGAGTTCTCTTTTGATACCCACAACGTCCCGCCTAACTATTTATAGTGATGCATACACTAAACCTTAGAAATAACGTGCAGCATTACTCAATAAATCTTAATGAAGAGACTACCTGAGTGGAAAAATAGCAACACACAGAGACTGTCTGTAAAAGCGTTTTCAGCATAGATAATGTGAGTCTATTCTTATTTATTCCCCGCCAGTTTCAATTTTTGCCATTTTGTTGCTGTCCGAACATTAACTTCTAGTGGGTGATATTTTAATAGGTCGACTCGAGAGATATGTCAAAAAGACATTCACGCCTCCAAGTCACATATAATCTTCCCGACAAAACCAGTAACTTCACAGGAAATAAAAGATAATTTGTCGATGATGGAAATTTTCCCCCTATGAATTTTATCCATATGATTTATTTTATTCTTATCTTGTTGATTATAACTTAACACTCTAGTATAAATCGTTCTGATCTTTGTTAAATGACATTTTCAGTTGACAAATCACACAATTTTGAAGCATTTATGTCGTAAAGGACGCAAAAAATCATCACTTTTACACTTGACATAGTCAAATTCAATAATGCGTGCATGATTCTGAACTATGTAAAACATCACAATTATTATAGATTGATAACTGTAGTTTGATGACAAAATTAGTCCGAACAAATGATCGCTCAAATATTTTTTGCCTTTGACAAACAGATTACTTAATTCTTTTACTTATTAGTTTGTTTCTGTTGACACATTTTGTCGGAAGTTCCAGGCTTTATGCATTTATGCATTACTATTTCGGTATCACATTAACTGTCTACAGGTTTTAACTGACCAGTTTGCTTGTCCTAGGTACTTTTAGAGCTGGTATTCACTTTTAGGGTGTGGAATAAATACCTTTTAGTTGATGCATAATTCTAATCTGACCATCATTTGAAAAGCGCTTTTTATCTAAGAGAGATGGAGGTTGAAGTTACTGATCAACAAACATTGATGGTGAGGGCCATGATTTCAGTCCCCAATGTTTGTGGACCGCAGAAGTTTAGTTGTCCTCGGTTCTTTACGATTAGTGGTGAGGCAATAATTATCCAAACTGAATTTTTCCTCCCATGTTTCCTGGGTGAGACTATAATTTATGGACAACCTTTGAGAGACGCTAAAGTGACCTTGTGAGTGTCAATCTAATAACTAGGACCGAATGAGGGTGATAACCCAGTGTGAGGAATTAGGATTATTATTTCTAGTTGATGGTTATTGTTAGGAATTCGATTTAGGGTTTTTCATCACGAGTTGACATGACCGAAAATGCCAAAACGCAATTTAACCGAATAAGTGGGTGAATTACGCACCAAAATCTAAGGTCTGTTGTTTTAAATGCGATTGCTTCGTTCAGTAAACTACAGTTTCGCCATTTTCTGCTTCCTGTACTTGTGTGTTTAACCTTATGAGGTTTCTGCACTTCACTAAGTCGTCCTGTCACATTTATTTTTGGACGCTTGAGCGCAAACCTAACGGTTGTCATTCGACAATAATAATAAAAAATGAGGGGCCATAAATATGTAAAGGCTATGTCGATACGCAACTTGAGAGTTCATACATATTAGATTACTGTCGATTTTTAGAAATCGATAGATATTTTTTCTACTTGACTGTTCAGCTTTCTTTCCATTAGCATAGACCTAATAGGTGCGCGCTACGGACTAGACGTTACTTTCAGGCCGAGGCCCTCAGTTTTGTTTCTCTAGGATTCTCACAGTGCTGAATGGATTTTTCTCCTAGAATTTCGGAAAATAACTCAATTCTTATCTATTTAAATATAAACTGTAAATCTCATGCTATAAGATCTCAGTTCAACATATTCATGGTATATATGATCATTTTCATACAATAATTCATAATCATACTCATTTTGGCTATACGATCAAACAAGAACCATATATATGCGAAATCATATATAATCATACTCGACAAAGAATTGCATTTCATATTTGCATTCTATTCCTCATATCTTGTTTGAATGCTATAATCCACGTACTTTATATTTTCACGGGATCTATTCATACCTCTACCTAATATCAAAATATCTATGTAATCGTGTAAGACAAAGCACTGTACTCACTGTTTTATATACTATCCTTTAAATTGTATTTGGATGCTATAACCCATTTAATTTCCAAAATTACCTGTTCAATTTGGCAAATCTGTCATAGATTTCGGTCAGTATTTTTATCCATAAAGCTGTTTCATATATTTGGTCGCAAAGTACTACGATAATCTTAGATGGTAATAATCTTTTGACAACTTATATCTATAGCCACCCAAATTTTAAATACTGAAGGCTTCCAGTTTACATATGGATCACATACCATGACCACTTTGTTTAATTTTTATACTGTCTTGAGCCCTCGGCATTGACTTTTTCACCCATTTCTATTTCCAACATTTCGTTCAGTCACTTTCTTATCATTCCACAAACGAAAACGAATGCCCATGCTTCAAGGCGTCCAGAAAACAGAGGGAGACGACACAATCTAATGCTACTACCGAAACGATTTCCGACAGTTTCGACGAGACGAACCACCTCGTTCATCCGAAAGCAATCAAGCTTACACCAGCTGTCTCCATTTCAGGCGTGTTGTGGACTCTATTGGTAAACAGTGATGATAATCACAACTGCAACCATATGGATGATATAAAAAAGTTGCAAGTTGACATGAACATTATAAATCCGCCTGAGTATCTCATCAATCCCAACCTCACAGAGACTCCATATCATATGAATGATATAAATAGTTTCCTAGATCGTGTTGTTTCAAAGGTATTTGAAAGAATAAGACGACCTAGCAATGCAATTGTGTTTAATATACCCGACACATATGCACCTGATTGTATCGAATCTAGTCTTATTAAATCCAGCACCATGGCACATGTACCATGTGTGTGCACAAGATTAAGAAATCACCCTGGTATGCACTTACCGATCTTGTTCAAATTCAACTAGTCTGCAGACGCCATTAAGTCTCTAGCTTTCTCTAATGCAACGAGACAAAATCAGATTTTCAAGGATATTAATACTTTTCCAGAGAGGAGACCATGCCAGCGGAAAACAGAAAGAGCTGGTTACAGACTGGCAGAGTTGCAAAACTAAGTCCAATTCTAAGAGGACATGTAACTTTATAAATATGCCACCACTGATAAACTCTACTTAATCTCCTAAAGTTCGAAACCGAGGAGACAGTAATCCCGACGTGGGTGGTGTTTATCCTCTTAAGAATGTTGACTTAGATCTAACTCTAAGTAGTTGTGCTGATGAAGAATGGGATAACGTGGTCCAAATCCCTGTCAGTACAACATCCAGTTACAACGGCTATGCAACGGATAACGTGAAAACTAGGCATAGTATTTATATAACTGACCACACGCTTAACGTCGATATATTCGAACCTTGCAAACTATAGCAAGTTTGTTCAACAACACTCGATTCTCCTCAACTTACGAAGGAGCCAAACCACAAACCATGGAAATAAACGTCTGGGACATGTTACCCATACCCATAAGTAATCCGAATTGTAATTGGCCACTTCGTCTCACACATAGACCTGATAGCCCATTTGGTTTGTCTCCCAATACGTAGACTATGCCCTTATCAGATGTTATATTCAATAGTCAATACAACGGGTATTCATTAAACCACTAATTGTGAGTAATATTCTAGCCTGCTTCACCATGATAACTCAGTTTTTATTTGTTCATCCAATACCCAATAAAATTACTCAACCCAAAACCCTTTTATTCCCTGTAAATCCAACCGTTTTAGTCATTACGGAAACGTGGTGCAAATCATATATGTCAGATCACTCTTTGCATGTAGATAACTACGTTTTCTTTAGAACCGAAAGATGTCATGGAATAGGAGGCGATACTATTATCTATGTCTGTTCGAACATACAGGCGTGCAAATTAGGGGGTTAAACCTGTTGATGCTGTAGACGACTCCACTTAGGTTACTGTAAACTGTGGATCTCGAAATTATCTACTAGTGGGATGCATATACAGACCATCTCATGCGGATACTAACTTAGATAGTTTACTAACAAACATTTTTCATTGCTTCGCATCAACCGCATACGTTTAAAACCATCGCAGGTGATTTTAACCTGCCAAACATAACATGAGGTTCGACTTCGGTACTAGTTCGATATAACAAGTTAATTGGAACAGTAGAATTTCGCGGATGTGTTCTTCAAGAAAGAAAGCCGAATAAGTGTAATAATATACTTGATTTTTTATTTACAATCAATATAAACTCTACCTCAGTGCACATGAGTCATGAGTTCTTTATCAGTAATCATAGAGTTGTATTGATTATTATTCCTTCTTTAAACACTATACAACTGAACTCTAAAGCTTTAGTAACGTACCAGAGTAGACAGTTTGATCAAAAAACCCGGAAACGGACTGAAACTGTTATTCGATGTTTACCATGAAAACCTTATTTTACCACAAGTAATAATGACATTGCGTCTTCCGATTTAAACCAAAACCTGATATATCACCTTGACTGCACTGCTCCGATTACTAGCCATGTGGCTTTTAACGCTAACAGAGGTCAGGTTACTTTTAAAACATTTAAGAGACAGCTGAGAAAACTGAAACACCACTATCACGAGCATCATGACATGTATGAATTTCAGAGTATACGTAACTTGCAATTAATTGTGACTTTGATAGCATCATTCCAAATTATTATTGCACAAATGTTTATACTAATATAAAGTTTAATTCTGAATCCTACTACATAACTTTAAATGTATTCACCCGAGTGCACTAAAACCTAACAAAATTGACGGTTTGCTTCAGAGGTCGATATTAATTACACTTTTATTATCATGGTTGAACCCTTTCACTAGATGTTCACTTACTTTCTCTTTTTTTTCCTTCCAAACAAATATTATTCTTAAGGTTCCGAAGTTTATAATCATGACAATTACTTGTGTTACACTAAAATTCTCAGACTCGTTTTGTCTTCACTACGTATATGTGACATACACATTGATACTTGATTATCCTTTGCATTTAATTGAAACTTTTATATCATCACTCCAAAATATGACTGCACAAACACTTATTCTAACGTCATATCTTGCTGCAATAGTAAGTTTATTGTCATTTATTCCGTCGTATTTTAACTTCACTACTCATCTGGCGATAGATACATTGTCGTTTATTCATGTTCTGTGTTCACAAACACGCTTATTAAACTACTTACGTATTTCGCGTCTAGTTCATTTCTGTTCTCTCATTTCTCAATCTCCCTTGAAGTCAACACAATATTCTACTCATTTATATGGAACTTGATTTATTACTATTAATCTGTTATCATTATTTTCTTTTTTCTTTTTCAAATGTGGCAGATATAATAATAATAATAACTTATTATCATATAGCAATTTGTTACACAAGGCATGCCACTTTACAGGTAAGAACAAATCGTTAAAAAGGTGCAATTTTCTCTGTAGTAAATTACTCAGTTGGGTTGATATTTTATAAGATATGAATGTAGTTGGTTTTAGTTATTCCTGTATTACCATTATCACAGTTGGTGCACCTTATAAATGTTGCGTTGCGTCGTAAAACTGGTGGTCGTAAATAGATCTATGTGGAGTTGAGGGGATTCTAGAAACCGTAACCCTATGTCCCTCTGGTATATCTAAAGCTTTAATGATAGTGCAGGGCGAATTCACCCATTCCATATCTGTTTTCAGTGGCACATCTCAAGGGGGCTGGAAAA